TCATAAATATCAGATTTTATGTTTTCTGTTCTGGCATGTTCCCACCTGAAAACTGTGTTGCTTACAACATCAAAGTCACAAAGCAGTGTGATTTGTATCTTTTATTTATAAATGTTAACTTTATCAGTGATATTTTTTGATGAGTTCTTCCATTGTATCTCATGTCATAAATTTTAGCATTAAAAAGATGTCATGACATCTTTAGGGCTTCTAAATGCATACACAATCTGAAGGTAAGCAGAGGTGATTTTAGATGTTTTAGATAGATACACAATTAATTTGTATTCAGCACAGTACTTTTTATGAAAACTATTAAGAGGACTTTGATTAGGCATTTGTTCAGAGTATCCACACTATATATGCTACTATATATGCTCTGATTAGTTACTTAGTAGCCAACTCAGTTATCAGATTGGTTATTATCAACAAAGACCACATTCACATAACTTTTATTCTAGTATGTTGTAACTGTTCTATTTTGTTATTGTTTTTGTTAATCTCTTACTATGCCTAACTTATAAATTAAACTTCATCACAGGTGTGTATATAGTGGAAAAACGGTGTATGTAGGTTTCAGTATGATCTGCAATTTCAGGCCTCATTGGGGTCTTGGAACATGTCCCCCACACATGAGCGGGTACACCACTTGTGAGGTAGTGCAGTGATTTTTTTAAAAGACTGTTCTCAATTTCTCTCTCTTGTCCCTTGCTACATTACTGTCATTCAATTAATTTATCTATAAGCTATCTTCATCCAATACATTATTTTGAACAAACTGTTACCTGTCAGATAAATTAAAAGGGACACAGAGGAGAGGGGCTTCTTCTAAGCTTCTCCCTGTGTACTCTGCATACTCCACAGGCTGTGCTAAATAAATGTACCATATGTTATGTTTTTTTCTATCAAAAGTAGAATGCATTAAATATCCTCAAATTCAACTAAAAAGGTAAAATTTTATTTTACTTTCATTTATTCTTTCTCTAATGTTTTTTCTTTCTTTGTGTAGATATGCCTTTCTGACCTATATCATTTTCTTCTCTCTGAAGAACTTCTTTCAACATTTGTTACAAGACAGGGCTACTGGCAGCAGATCATCGTCTGGGAAAGTTTTTATAGCTCCTTCATTTGTGAAAGGTAAGTTTACTGGATACAGAACTGTAAGCTGGGTGAGGTTTTTTCTTTCAACAATTTAAATACTTCACTCCTTTTTTTTTTTTTTGCTTCTGAGGTTTCAAAGAGAAGTTTGATGTAATTCTTATCCTTGTTCCTGTAGAGATAGGTAAAGTGTTATTTTCTCAGGCTTCTTTCAAGATAGCTTTCTTATTTTGGTTTTCTGAGGCTTGAATATGCTGTATCCAGATACATTTAAAAAAATATTTTTCCTGAGTGTTCTCTTAGCTTCCTGGATTTGTGTTTTGGTGTCTGTCATTAATTTTGGAAAATTGACAGCCATCATAACCTCAAATACACTTTCTGTTCCTTTCTCTTCTCCTGATATTTCCGTTAAGTATACTTTATACTTTTTGTAATTATCTCACACGTCTTAGCCATTCTGTTCCTTTTTTTCCCATTGTTTTTCCCTTTGCTTTGTTGTTCGAGAAGTTCCTATCGACATCTCCAACCTCACTGATTCTTTCCTCAGTCATGTCCATTGTATTTATTATTCCATTTCTTTTATAATGTTTTAAATTTCCAGCATTTCCTTTTGATTTTTAGAGTTGCCATCTCTCTACTTACAGTACCCATCTGTTCTTCCATATTGTCCACTTTTTCACTGGAGCTTTTAACTCATTAAATATAGTTATTTTGATTTTCAGGTCTGATAATTCCAAAATCTCTGCCATGTCTGAATCTCACAAAGCTCATTTTGGTTCTGATGTCCATTTTTTTTTTCAGACTCTGTTCATTGTCTTTTAGCATGCACTGTAATTTTTTGTTGAAAGCTGGAATGGTATATTAAGTAAAAAGAGCAGGTAGATAGATCTTTACTTAGTGTGAAGTATTGTACTTACCTCACTAAGAATTGGGCTATTTACTGTTTGCTGCAAATGTGTGTGGTTTTAGAGACTAACATTTCTCCAAGGTCATTATTTGAGTGTCTGTCCTCTGTTGTCTTTGGGTTCCCTACAGACTCTGTTGAAGGAGATCTCAGGTTTGAAGTTCTTCACGTAATAACCTCATTATTACAGAAGCCCTGTTCATATGGAGAACAGGTGTGGGGATAGGGAAGTATTTCGCAGCCCTATAATTAGATCTTAATCTTTTGTTTTTCTTTTTTCGGTGTTTCCTTATCCCTCCCCCCCCCCCCCAATTTTAGAGATACAGGAAGACTAGAGGGGCCTGTATTTCAGTATCTCCCCTCTGGTGAATCGGACTGCAGTAAAGCTAAACCAACCTTAATAAAAACTGGTTAGGCTCTGTAAAATAGTTTCCCTTGAGGGCATGCCTTATTAATGAGAACAGAGAACTCTGGGAGTTTAAAAAAAATGGTTACCTTCCCCCTCCTCTTACCAAAAGCAGGATGGGGTTTTTCTCTGGTGTTCACATTGAGAGTCTAGCAGGGCTCCAGGAGGTAAAACTCACTAATCATTCATTACAACGACAAATTGTGATCAGTTCTAAGACTGAAAAGTACAGGGTGTTAATGAGATACCACTTCACACCAGTCAGAACGGCCATCATAAACAAAGCAACAAACAACAAGTGTTGGAGAGGTTGTGGAGAAAAGGGGACCCTAGTGCATTGTTGGTGGGACTGCAGACTGGTACAACCACTATGGAAAGCAGTATGGAACTTCCTCAGAAAACTAAAAATGGATCTGCCTTTTGACCCTACAATTCCATTGCTGGGACTATATCCTAAGAACACTAAAACACCAATACAAAAGAACCTTTGCACCCCGATGTTCATAGCAGCACAATTTACAATAGCTAGGTGCTGGAAGCAACCTAGATGCCCATCAGTAAATGAGTGGATCAAAAAACTATGGTACATTCACACAATGGAATACTACGCAGCAGAAAGAAAGAAGGAACTCTTACCCTTTGCAACAGCAGGGATGGAACTGGAAAGCATATGTTAAGGGAAATAAGCCAGGCAGTGAAAGACAAATACCATATGATCTCACCTTTAACAGGAACCTAAACAACAAAACAAAGAAACAAGCAAAATATAACCAAAGATACTGAAATGGGGGACAGACTGGCAGTGACCAGAGGGGAGAGAAGAGGGAATTTCAGAGAAGAATGGGAAGGGTTTACAGGAACAAATTTAAAGGACACATGGACAAAAGCTAGGGGGAGGGTGGTAATGGGAGGGAAGTGGGGAGGGTTGGGTGGGTGGGCTGGAATGGGAGTAAAAGAGAGAACACTGTACTTGAACAATGATTAAAATAAAATTTAAAAAGAAAGAAAGAAAAATAAAATAAAATTATCATTTTCCATGCTGCTTAAAACTCATTTAAACATGAATAAATGAATGAATGAATGAAAAAAAGAGAAAAGTACGGGGTGTTATGACAGCACAAAAAACATGGAAACTGAGATTGTTTGTGGGATCAGGGAAGTTGGCTTAAGGAAAAGAACCTAGTGAAAGAACAGGGGAAAGTGTTTCAGGCAGAGGAAACATGCATTTGCTTTGAGGTGGGAAGGAACAAGGAACGTTTGATTAAATGAAAGAAAAATAAGGGTGACTAAATTGCAGAAAGAGCGGGGGGGGTGTCTGAAGACTAAGCTGGGAAGATCAGTGGGCTGAGAGCCTTTGTCATATTCTAGAATCAATGAGAGGCAGCTTTGGGATGACTTCAGTGAAGGTCTAGATAGAACTTTGGGTTGAAGATGAAAACAGAAATAATAACAGACATTTTCTTGGGTTGTTCCTTTCAGCTATTCTTCCCCCCAAAGTGGAGAGACAGGCAAGCACTAGGCCGGTTCTTTCTTCCTCCTACCACCCGGCTCCGTTTTGTCATTCCGGAAAAAAAAAAAAAAAGGCCTCCATCATATCATGCCAGCTGCAAGGGGGAAGAGAAAAGAACCATGAAGGGGGGGGGGGGAATGTTAAGCTCTTCAACTTTTGCACCAATTTGAAAAAATTATAATTCTGGTTTATCTTCCATTTTATTTTTGAGTGAATTCCAAGAGTTCTAATTTGGGCAATCTGACAGCAAGGTGTCCCTGAACCAGCAGAGATTACCTGCAACATTTTGCGTGTGCGCACCCGTGTGATTTTGGGGAAGAGTGAAGGTCCACAGCTTTTATCAGACCATTGAAGGGTTCTGTGCTTCTCCCACCCAGCTGAGTGTGGGCGCAGGGAAGTTTTCTCTCTCTCTCTCTCTCTCTCTCTCTGTCTCTCTCTCTCTCTCTGTCTCTCTCTTTGTCTCTCTCTCTCTGTCTCTCTCTCTCTCTCTGTCTCTCTCTCTCTCTGTCTCTCTCTCTCTCTCTGTCACTCTCTCTTTGTCTCTCTCTCTCTCTCTCTGTCTCTCTGTCTCTCTGTCTCTCTCTCTTTGTCTCTCTCTTTGTCTCTCTCTCTCTCTCTCTCTCTCTCTCTCTCTCTCTCTCTCTCTCTCTCTCTCTCTCTCTCTCTCTCTCTCTCTCTCTCTCTGTCACTCTCTCTCATGTCTTTGTCACACATACACACCTACGCCCTGTAAATGTGCAGTTCCTCTGCTAAGGAACAACTCGCCCCTCACCGAGCCACTGGAATAAACTTCTCAGATCTTGAAACTCCTCCGGCACCGGGTCGTGGCTCCTCCTCCTTTGGGCTCCGGTGTCCTACACTTGCTCTGGTTTCCAACCAGACCGTGGACTGCAGGTTGGATTGGCTGAGCTAGGAAGAGGAGCAGAAGCTTCACCAAATCACAAATCTAGGATTTTCATCTTTCTTGGTCTCCTCCCTAGAATCCTGGCAACCAATGAGCTCCTGCATTTCCCTTCCTGGAACCTTGCCTGGGGTTGCTATGGAGACTGGACGCCGCCACTTGCAGAGCAACTAGGACCCAGAAATCGCTCAGCAGATCTCTCAGCAAAGCGACTGTCCTGTGTTGTCTCCTTCCATTTCTGCACAACGTCTTTCATCCAGAACCTTTTTGTTTTGACTCTATGGAAGACTTGACCGCCCAGAAGCAAGAAAAAGAAAACCAGGAATCAGGGGAAGAAGAGAGGCCATTGGGAGAAATAACAGCAGCTTCTTCCCAAGATCTTAAGTCTGGGTTATCTGAACCTCTGGAGTCGGAGCAGGGGCCTGAGACTGGACCCCAGTCCCGCAGCAGCCCGCCTGAGAGCCCGCAGTCTAGAGACAGCGCACCTCTCGGTGACCTCACAGAACCGGGTGCATCATCTCCACCTTCGCCTCCTGAGGAGCCCTCTTCCACTCCTCCTCTGGCTCTGTCCGGACAGGGCCTTGAGGCACCACTGCAGGCACACCAGACCACTAGTGTGATTCCCGAAGCTGAGACGCCTCACTCTGATCATTTGAAACAGTCATCTGATATAGGAGAATCAACTCATCAAACATGTCAGTCAACGGGGAACGCCTTCCCACAGTTTCAGCAAACAAATGGTTATTTGTATGAACCAAGGGATGTGAGCTGTAGCAACTCTAAACAAAAAGAGCTGAGGTTTGATATTTTTCAGGAGGAAGACTCAAACAGTAACTACGATCTGGATGAGGCTGAGCCCGAAGCGGCCCCCAGTGTGCTTGAGATTGCCATTCAGAACGCCAAGGCTTACCTCCTGAAGACCAGTAGCGAGTCGGGCTTAAATCTGTAAGTCCTGGAGAAAAAAAAAAAATTAAGAGCAAAGTATGGCTAAGAAAAGCGAGTGTGAGTATCTCAATGTGAGAGTGTTTCTGTGGTTGAATGAAAATATATTTGAAAAGTCTGTGTTAGTAAGAGTTAGTGACTTAATAATCTTTAACATCACAGGACTCAACATAGATCATTGATGGGTATTCTTCTACTTCTTGAAAGATCCTTGGCATTGAGAAACAAAACCTAGGAATTATGGAATCTTGGGTTTGAAAGAGACCATAACGATAGTGAAGTAAGTACAAGCATCTCTCTGAGATGCTTGTAAAAAGTAACTTTCTGCTGGTGACAGGGAGTGCATGCCTCTACTCTAGACATTCTAATGCTTCTGTGGCTTGGTTTTGAGTCTCACGCAAGGCAGTCCGGGGTGACCAGATCTCTCAGTTTTTTGGGATCTATCCTGACTGGAGCACTAAAAGCTCTGCATCCTGAGAAACGCCTTGGTCTGGGCAAACCAGGAGAATTAGTCACTGTAATTTTAAGGTCTAAAGAATAAAAAAAATTAACACTTAATGTGTGAAATCTTTAACAAAACTCAAGAATGACAATTTAAAATACAACTTGTACATTACTGTTTTAAGCTTTACTTAAGCTTCAGGGATGTGGCCTGCTGCTCACAGTGGACTCTACTTGGATTTCTGATGTAAACTTATCCTAATGCCCTAGGTTAAATAACAAGCCTGAATTTACAAATTTTGTTAAAACTCAAAAAGAGCTTATTATAAATGCTTGAACTCTCACTATTTAAAACAATGCACAAAACACAAAAGTGGGAATTTTCTTTATTGAATTGTTTAATCAGTGATATTGCTTAAATGCCTAAGTTTTATTCTCTTTCCAAATGCTACATCTCTGAGGTAATAAATAAATATTTTCTATAATGTTCATTATTATCTTCTAAATTCTTTACAGCTTGAAATTAAAAATGGCTTCCTAAAAAATAAAACCCTCAGTTTCTTATATGCAGATGACAACCATAAAAATGACTTTTTGTTGTAATTAAAACAATCTTTGACTAAAATACAAGATCTGGTATTGGTTTTTATATTGCTGCAAAGAAAGCCTTTAAAAATTGCTTTCTCCTATTCCACTAAAACAAAATATTAATCCTCTTAAATTGAAAAAACTTTAACTATGAATTAATATCTAAAACATATTTCATAATTTGGCAAAAAAAGATAGTTTTACAAAATAGTGTGGACTCTTTAAAAAACAATATCTTCCCCAAAGAACTATGAACGAAGCACATATAGACATTATATTAAAACCTGAAAAATAAAGTAAATATTTGGACTTAGAGTCCTTCATTTGATAGCATACATAGCCCCTTTTCGAGCAAATTAAAGACTCCAGTTGCAACTCCAGCCAGTGCTTACTAAGCAACAATATTTTTGGTCTGGAGGCATTTCTATGAGTTTCAATACTTAACAAATATTTAGAAAGCTTGAGTAAGTTTCAAACAAATCCCTAGTCATAACATTCCTGTTCACTTACAAGAATAAAAATATTCTGAGAAATAAATGATATATTCTTTATATATATTATTTTAAAAACTGCCCTTTAAATTGGTTGTGCATATAATCTACATATTTTGCTTTGACACTCTTAAGATCCATTGGATAAACACAGATAATAAATAAAAGATAAAAAATGATACTTAGGGTCAATGAACAAAAAATAAGCAATTATTGAGCATCTATTTTGATTCACTATAATAAGGAAACACATTAAGATAACAATAAACAAAGAACAAAAACATAATTTTGTCAATGTAAGAACCTAATGCAGTTGCTGAATGGGAAATATATAATGAACACACACATATAACAGTGTATTTGTGAACTCAGAAAGGCCCCCTCCAAACTGAAGAAGAATGGTTCAGGGATGTCCTCAAGTCTCAGGGATGACTTGAGGACAAGGTGGTTCCAAATTTTTTCTTCAGAGAAATGATATATGTGGGATAGCAAGCAAAGTCTCTCAGATTAGATTTAGCAACTATATAAGAGTGATTTTTAAGTAGATTTACCTCACTGGGAGAGTAGCTATAATTGAACTAATTGTTAGGAATGAAATTGGAGAGAAACAATACTTATCTGCCAGAGAGGAAATTTACGCAAGTTTCTATATTGGACTGAGAAGTTTCTATTTAACCTAAGAGCACCTTGACAGACAATTTGGCTCTTAAATAGTACATTCACATTGTAAGTCTGGTATTTGAAAAGGCACACCTTAGCCCTTCTGTATAAAATGTAATGAATTAGTGAGAAGTTAGAGGATGTTTCACTTACTCAGTTATAAAATAAAAAGCTAGGACAGTGTTTTTAACAGAACAAACATAGTAGAATGCATTACATTTTTTATAAAGGTGAATAATATTTATGACATTTTTCTTTCAGTTGTATGTGGGCAGGGGTTGCAATATGAAATGTATTTCCTATAGGTTTAAAATACACTGAAGTAGATTATTGGCCTAGGAAATGAAACAGAAGAGAACATATGTTTTAAGAGAGTCAGTAGAATTTAGAAATCAAATTGGATTTGGCACGGGTGGGGAAGGGGATGGAAAAGAAATTAAGGTAAAAAGAGAAAAATGTTAATCACTTTAAAATATATAACTAAGAGATTTCGGTCTCAAATAAAATGTGAAAGTGTTCCTGGTGTAAAGTATGTATCTTTTAAAATATGCTTTTCTTCAATATCTTAAATATTTATAGCATATTGGAGATATTTCCTAAGAAAAATTCTAGAATAGGCTTTTCCAGCAGTGGTAGAAGTTACTGTGTTTATTCACTTAAAATTTACGAAGGCTCTGACCCATGGACACTTCCTAAAAACCAGCTGAGTCTGCATGAAATGCTTCTTCTAAAGCTTTTGACAGGTGTATTATCTGTAATTTTCTCTTTTCGGGTAGATATGATCATCTTTCTAATGTGCTGGCCAAGATCTTAGATGAGCGACCTGAAAATGCTGTGGACATCATTGAAAATATTAGCCAGGATGTGAAGATGGCACATTTTAGTAAAAAATTAGATACACTCCAAAATGAGAATGAGATGCTTCCAACATATGAAATAGCAGAGAAGCAAAAGGCTCTTTTTCTTCAGGGACATTTGGAAGGAGCTGACCAAGAACTGGAAGATGAAATAGTAAGTCACTAGTAAATTTGATTAGTTCAATCTTAAGGTTTTATTCGAGGTGAGTGGGTGTGGTTTTACATTCACATCAATAATCTTATAGCTTTCTAAATGGTATTTTCATCCTCATTTCACACAACTCATTGCCTTGTTTAGAGCTTATTTTTTCACATTGTGTTTGTGTTTCACAGGCACATGTGAAAGTCGAAGTTACTCCTTGATTCATTGGCTAGAGAATGGAGGTTGTGTTAGCAGGCATGAAAACAATATAATCTCACTGTACATTTTCACCAAGGCTCCAGTCACCAGGGGTTATTGTCAATGAGCCAGAGTATTTTGATAGGAATGTTTTCTTTCTCTGGGCAGTAAATCCAACAATTCATTTAAAATATTCACCTATCTATTTTGTAAGCAGGCATGCTGTGATTCAGGCTTTGTTCCATGTATAGAGAAGATTTAGCATAATTCTTCAGGATCCTAGGATTTTTGGGATTGTAAAAAGGGATTTGCTTCAACTTAATGTCACCAGCTGCATTAGGTCCTATTAAGGGTCGGCCTGTCTTTTGAAGCCTTGAAGCCAATCATCGACATCTCCTCTCTAGCTATCAAAGTCCAAATGGCATCTTCTTCCAATTCAAGGCTCTTCATCTACACTGAAAACCTGTTGTTTAGGTTAGCCACCTGCATTAGTTATCTTAGCTAGGTCTCAATAACTTGTTACAGCTTCTGCATTAACACTTGCTGCTTCACTTTGCACGTTGCTGTTATGGAAATGGCTCCTTTCCTTCAACTTTATGAACCAACCTCTGTGAGCTTCAACCTTTATTTCTGCAACTTCCTTACCTCCCTCATTCTTCACAGAATGAGGAGTTAGGGCCTTGCTCTAGATTAGGTTTGGCTTAAGGATATGTTCTGGCTGGTATGATCTTCTATCAACAGCACTAAAACTTTCCTCATAATAGCAATAAACCCATTTCACTTTCTTGTCAATTATGTGTTCACTAGAGGAACACATTTAAATATTTCAAACACATTTCCTTTGTATTCAGTTTGGCTGTTTGGTACAAGAGGCCTAACTTTCGGCATACCTTGGCTTTCAATATGCCTTCCTCACTAAGCTTAATCATTACTAGCTTTAGATTTAGAGTGAGAGATGTGCAGCTCTTGAGGCCATTGTAGTATTATTAATTTGTCTAATTTCAATATTATTGTATCGCAGGGAATAAGGAGGCACAAGGACAGGGAGAGAGATGGGGGGCAGCTGGTTGGTGGAGTAGTCAGATAAAACAACATTTATGGATTAAGTTTACTGTCTTATGTGGTCATGATTTTTGGTGCTGCAAATAATTGCAATAACATCAAAAAGCACTGATCACTGATCAGGATAACAGATATAATAATAATGAAACAGTTCAAAATATTGCTAGAATTACCCAAATGTGACACAAAGACATGAAGGGAACAAGTGCTCTTGGAAAAATTCTGATAGATGCATTTGATCCAAGGTTGCCACGAACCTCTAATTTGTTAAAGAAAAAAAGTGGTATCTGCAAAGCTCAATAAAATGAGGCATAACTCATTTTCTAAATATGTGTGTGTGTGTGTAGGTAGGTTTTGATATATTTTATTATTTCAGGATAGTATGTGGGCTACTTAAACATTTTATATAAACAGGGAATGTTGAATTTTTATCATTTATAATTATTAAACTTTTTTCTGCCTAAGATACATACATACATGATTATTATAATATTTGGTAAATGTAAAACACAATGGTAGAAGCCACATTTATAAGTAATGAGATCATTGAAATTTGGAAATTAACAGAGTGAACTAAATCTTGGAAGAAATGTCAAAGAAGTGGTATAGAGAGAAAGTACAGCTAATATGAAGACATTTAGCAGGGAAACAGGAAGCAAGCAGTTCTTTTTATAAAGTGATAACCACGGCATTTGCATCCCCAGGCAGGAAACTCTCTTCCAAATGTAATGGAATCAGCGTTTTACTTTGAACAAGCCGGAGTTGGATTGGGCACAGATGAGACCTACCGCGTATTTCTTGCCCTCAAGCAGCTTACTGACACTCACCCTATCCAAAGATGCCGTTTCTGGGGCAAGATCTTGGGCCTGGAAATGAATTATATTGTAGCTGAAGCGGAACTTCGTGAGGGAGAAGATGAAGAGGAGGCAGAAGAGGAAGATGTAACTGAAGAGAGAGACAATGAAGACAGTGAAGGTGAGGAAGATGATGAATTACCAAGATCCTTCTACAAGGCCCCACAGGCTGTACCAAAAGAAGAAAGCAGAACAGGTGCCAACAAGTATGTCTATTTTGTTTGCAACGAGCCAGGAAAACCATGGGTGAAGCTACCATCAGTTACACCCACGCAAATTGTTATTGCAAGACAAATCAAGAAGTTTTTCACTGGGCAATTGGGAACTCCCATCATAAGCTACCCACCTTTCCCAGGAGATGAGAGCAATTACTTACGAGCACAAATTGCCAGAATTTCAGCAGGGACCCATGTCAGCCCTCTAGGTTTCTATCAGTTCAGTGAAGAGGAAGGAGAGGAGGAAGAAGAAGTAGAAGGTGGGCGAGATAGTTTTGAAGAGAACCCTGATTTTGAAGGCATCCAAGTGGTTGATCTAGTGGAATCCCTGTCCAACTGGGTTCATCACGTACAACATATTCTCCCTCAGGTAGGGGCTTTGCAATTCTCAATCTATCAGCCAAGCAGCACATATTTATTAAATTCAGTCTACAAGATATACATATGTTCAGACTCTAGACAGAGAAAGAGACCATTAAAAAAGTCAACTAAAATCCCTGGCTGGTGTAGCTCAAAGGATTGAGCGCGGGCTGCAAACCAAAGGGTAGTAGGTTTGATTCCCAATCAGGCAGATGCCTGGGTTGCAGGCCAGGTCCCTAGTATTAGTGTGGGGCACGCGAGAGGCAACCACACATTGATATTCCTCTCCCTCTCTTTCTCCTTCCCTTCCCCTCTCTCTAAAAATAAATAAATAAAATTTAAAAAATAAGTCAAATAAAAACACAGAGTACTATATAATTAGCAAATACTATAAATCTGGGATCTTCAAGCAGACTTTTATTTACAAACAGAAATGATAAGTATTTCTATGAAGTATTTGACAAGTCATATAAGGATTTCAATCTAAGTGTGTCATAAAATTATCTTTTTATATGTTAATATAGATGGTGCACCAATTATGGAATTATTCATTTTATTCTATTTCTATAATATATAGATTTTATGCCAAGCAATAAAATATTATGATAAAAACAAAAACAAGCAAACAGTGCTAAATAGCAGTTACACACTACACATTCTGCTAGGTGCCCATAGTTGCGCTTCATATGCATTACCTTACTTAATACTCATAACTGTATGAAAGCTAGTACTATCCTTAATTTACAGGTGAGAAAATTGAGGCAAAGTTTAGGGAATGTAAAAGTGGTAATATGGCTAAAAAGCAACAAGGTCAGATAAGAATAGGCAGAATGGACTGAGAGTCCATCTTAGTCAGTCTGCTCTACGGCCGTATCTGCAGGTAGAAGAATCTGATTCATTATACTTTGACCTGTATATGAGATATTCTTACACATCTTTAGATAAGTTAATTAGATCAGAAATTAAAACCCCAAATCTCCATACCTAATCTTATCACATTTGACTTTTTATTATTAATAACAGTACCTTATCTCTTTCTCATAAACCTATTACAAATTAGTAAAATGCATTATTCCTTTTATTTTACAAGGCACTAATTTTAAAATGTAAATGTTCTGTAACTTAAAATTCTTGAAATAAATAGTACAATCTTTTGCTTGAAAAAACCTAGATCATAATAGCACTTGGCAAATATATGTGGAATGAATAAATGAAAGATTAAATTCCCACAGAGTGGAACCTTGTGCAGATAATTGCTTTGATGTAAATGAATACTCTTGATATTTGAAGGTCCTCATCTTGCAATATTCATACTCAGGGTCGCTGTAATTGGTTCAACCCCATTCAAAAAAGTGAAGAGGAGGAAGATGATGATGAAGAAAAAGAAGAAGAACTTGACTACATAGAACAGGAAGTGGGGCCTCCTCTCTTGACACCAATCTCTGAAGATTTAGGTATTTTCACAAAGTTTATATGTAATATACTATGTGTATATGGTATTAAGTATACATAGTATATACAACATACTATATTTTATATAGCATATATGTATACATGGTGTGTATATTCTATGTACATATACTATATCCATAGATTTACACACACACACACTATAGCATATGGTGATGAATAAAGAATACACCTGGACGAACCACCAACTTTCTCTGACAGAAGTTAAAGAAGGGCCAGGCAGGGAGGAAACATGAGTTGGTTGTAGCTTTCACTGAAATGCTGATTGTTATCTTGTGTATGGCTCCTGCCTTGCATTCTGCAGACCATAAACAGATGACCATAAACACATGACATTATGATATAGTGTGTAAATATCCAAGTTTCATTGTTCCAGAATGCTCACAAAATTCCCTCCTAATTTTACGTCAAGCTGCTGTTTTTTTAAAAAAAATTTTTTAGATTTTATTAGTTTTTAGAGAGGGGAAGGGAGAAATATAGGAAGAGAAACATCGATGTGTGAGAGATATATTGATTGTTACTTCTCGTATACCCCAAACTGGGGACCCTGCCTTCAACCCAGGCATGTGTCCTGACTAGGTATCAGACTGTCAACCTTTCGGTTCGCAGATCAGTGCTCAGTCCACTGAGCCACACCAGCTAGGGCAAGCTGCTGATGTTTTTAACTTTTCTATGTCAAGTGTGTGTGCTTTATGGTTTATAAAAATTGCTTCTTTGTTATACTACATATCCTTGTCTATTTAGGAGCTAAGTTTTTGAGTTTCTCACTGATTTACAGAGATCCAGAGAATACCACCTTGGACAACACGACTGTGTTCAAACCTCATTCCTCAATATGCTATTGCTGTTCTCAGATCCAACCTCTGGCCTGGAGCATATGCCTTTTGCAATGGCAAGTAAGTAAATCACAGCTTTCAAAGTTATTTTTGGAAAGCATAAGTTATCGCTGGAATCTTACTATTGTTTTAACTCATTTCTAGTAAGATTTATCCACACATCATACAATAAAGCATCAAACTAAATAAGAATATTTAGACTTCCTTCTGTTCATCTGAATTAATGAAGCTAAAATATGGTTTTGTTTATAATTATTTCAATAACTGACTTATTCATTTAATGGAAGTAATTCTGAGCAGTGTTTAAATTAATTTAAGTCTCCCATTATTTTTGTTGAACATCTTGATAAAAGGTAATTTAAAATATGTGTTATGTAGGCTGTCATTTTCAAGAGAATTAGGATCAAGAAGATACTAATTGTCCTTTTATCCCTCACTCAGTCTTATGCTTCCACTTTTTACCTAATAACCCAATGTCAAAAGATCAGCTGGGCTGAAGAGAGAGCTGAACTGCTAAATGTCAGAGTAACCATTAAAGCAACAAGCCAAACAACCAAAAAAAAAACCTTCACAAAAACAAAAAAAAAAAGATTCCCTCCACCCCGCCCCCTTTTACTTTTTCCCCATGAAATGGTATACCAGTGGAAGGTCTGGTGGATCAGCTTAGAGATATGGGGGTCTTCTCAATGATAAGGAAGTCCCTGACACATGGGTGGGGGGAAGAGGAGGAACACTAGGGAAAAGTACTGGATACTGAGAGTGGGGAAAAGTGCCTTTAGGGTTTCCCCCTCTCCCACAACTGCCATGAAGAGGCCTTGGCAGAGGGACCCGGAAGACCTCTTCTGAAGGTCTCAGAGACCTAGGAGTGAAGGCACCTGTGCGAGGAGCGGAACTATGTGAAGAGCATGAGGCCAGAGGGTCCACAGTCCTGACACAACTCCCCTCAGAGACTGCGGGGCACTGAGCATGCACCAAGCCTGGGGTGGAGAGGGCAATTTTCCCTTTAGGCATGTGGGGAAGAGCCTTTGTCATTGCCTGTGGCTGGGCCTGAAAATTCACACATAGGTCTTTAACCACAAGCCCACTTATCACCCAGACAAGCGTTTGCTAAACTTTTGAACTTTTTCTAATTCTAACGAAGGTAGTAACTTTTTTAGTTTTTTCTCCCAAGAAAATAAATAATCAAAGGTTGTGGTTTCAGTATAGGGTACATTGTGACAGGGTCTGGCCCCATGGTTTTTTTAAACAGCTTAAGCTGGTTTGGGTCATAGAAATTTCCTGTGCTAGAAGAATCATTTAGGGATATTTCATCTCTCATGCATTTTAAATGCATTGTTTTAAAATTATGGGACTATGATACTTTACGCACTTTATCATTACAGAAGAGAAAGGTCAACTTTTCTTACTGAAAAATAATACAATAATCGTCTACGTTTTTTAAAAACTTATAGGAAGTTTGAAAATCTCTACATAGGCTGGGGTCATAAATACAGTCCAGAGAGCTACACACCCCCAGTTCCACCACCAGTTTGTCAAGAATACCCCAGTGGACCAGAGCTTACAGAAATGGATGACCCCAGTGTGGAAGAGGAGCAGGCGTTCAGGGCTGCCCAAGAAGCAGCTGTACCTCCAGCTGAAGAAAATGAAGACACTGATGAAGAGGACTATGACTAATAAAAATAAAATTGAGCCCTTACGTCAGCAGCAAATATAGTAAAATTAGTCTAGTTTTATGATTTACATACATACTCCTTGTGGGTCTAATTACATATATGTAGTTGGCAGCTATTCATGTGCAAAATGTCATTCTCTGAAAATAGCAAACTTGGGATTTCATATTTGGAACTATTAAAATGTGCTTATAGAAAAATATGCAAGGGATTATCCAGAGGCTAAATGACATGTTCCACATCACAGTTCTGTTACAATTAGTGAAATGTGCGCTCCTGTATTTTTTTTCAAATCTCAGGTTTCATTTCTATCGTGGCAGACACGAAACTGTATAACCCACATAATGTTCTTGGTGACTTCAATTTTTTTTTGAGTGTCAAGGGGTGCTGAGGCCAAAAACATTGATTAGGAGAGAATTTATAATTCTACCACCTGCTCAAAGGCTTCAGAAACTTTAAAATTTTTAACCTTTTACCTGTTACTGCTTAAAGAACTTTCTCAAAGACACCATTATCCTACAGAAATTGGTTTGCTTTGTTTGGGGGAAAAATGGTTTGCACAGAGATGGCTAGCTGGGATACCCAGAGATTTCAGACTAGTATTTTCTACCACTGCTTCTCTAAAACTGTGTTTTCATTTCACTTAAAAAACTATTTTTAAGCCCTGTTATATGTGCACTGAGGCTACTGACCAGCAGTTTGGAGATCATTAATCTACAAACATTGCTTGTCAAACACTTAGAAGGTACATTTACTCAAACTTGAGCAGTACAGGAAGCCCTTCTAAGTGGTGGGGAACTAAAGGTAGAAAGGTCATAGGCACAACCAACTATATTTTGGGAAGGACTCTGGGTTAAAAGGAGTGGAATTTTGAGTGGTGAGAGACAAGCTGGATAGGTAAGCGGGGCCCAGACTGTGTGGGATATCTGGATTTTATCCATGGACGAGGAAGAGGACTCCACTAGGAAGTGACGAAATCAAATTTGTAAGGAATGTTTTGGCTTCAAAGTAGAAGAAAGACTGACAGGATTGACACAGGGAGACCAGTTAGTAGGCTGTCGTTATCTAGGTAAAGCATAATGGTGGCATGAAAGAGGATTAGTGCACAGGAGATGGAGCAGAAGCCTGCTTACTGGTCTAAAGAAAAAAATATTCGAAAAGGAGATTTCCAGAATTTCCTACTTGGCAATACTGTTCATTTTGGAGTGCAACTTTCAGTATTTGATAGAGCAGTTAATATTTGTAAAACTTCACCCAAGTATATTTTGTTCACTTTTCATGGTATAGTAGACATTTGCTGCTTTCTTTTTTGATGTTTCATATCCATTTCCACATCCACACTGACTCCCATTTGAGAAACTGCCTCTGTGCATGGCATGCCTCATGACATCAGACATGCCCTCTGGAATCTGAGCTGTGGGCAGAGCCATTCTACCCTGGCTCCTAACCTCATTCCTGCTGTAAAGTAGACCACAGTCTAGCCTCTACAGTTGCCTCGGTTCCTGCACACAGCCCTAGTTCCTATGGATTCTGTGAGCTTCTCTGATAGTCTTTCCATGAATTCCCTTCTGCTTAAATCAGCCAGAGTAGGATTCTTTCTTGCAACCTTATATGGCACATCCAAGTCTGAAAGTTTCTTTTCCACAGGACACATTCAAAACAAGACTCTAAATCTGTTGTATAGGTAGGAGTGAGAATATTTAACAAAAGCAAATCCCTCTTTTCAGAGCCATACCTGTTAAATATTAAGGTTATTTTTTAAGTGGCAAGGAGGGAATTTCTACAAAAGAAAATAGAATGTTTTACTGGTAAGAATTTGGAAGTGAGACAGCCTGGGTTCGCACTCTGGATTATGATAATTTTCCCAGCCAAATTATTAATTTGCAGAACTTCAGTTTCCTCATACAGCTAATAAGAGTACTTGTGTCACAGAACTACTTTGAAAATTAAACTAATTAATATACGAAAAAATACTAAGAATGCCTAACACAAATAAGTACCCAATAAATCTTACATATGACATACTACAAAACCAGTTTATGAAATGTGGATAAGAATAGAAATATAAAAGCCACAATGAAAACAAGATATTTTTTGAAATAATTTCTAAACAATGAATAACTAAGAATATAATTTAGACATTTTACAAATTAAAGTTGAATATTTAGAAAATTCACAGATTTGTAAGTTGTATTAAGGACTTTAATATTGAATTTGCAAAATAAAATTCCACAATCACTGAAATGCTTTATTCTTCAAGGAATCTTCTCGGCTATAAAGACTTGAGATGCTTGTCTCCTGGCCTTGAAAAGAAATTTTAAAAAATTGTTACAAGAAATCAATTAATTAGAATACAAATTATCATTCTAATATTAAAAAATAAGATTTGCAGTGATCCAAGGGGTGAGGGGAGGGGATAATGGGGGGAAAGGGTAAAGGGCTTACAGGAACAATTATAAAGGACATATGAACAATAATAAGGAGGGGGTGGAAAAGGCAGAAAACTACTTAAACAATAAAAAAAATAAAAATAAATTAAAAATAAAAAATAGTTCTAAGTTTACAGCATAATTGAGAAGAGTAGAGTTGCTATCATTCCATATCGTATTATTAAACATGTTTCAAATGCTAAAAATAGAAAAATAAAAATCACAATCTTTCATTTAAAAAAATAAAGCATTATGAGATAAAAAACATGGAAATTTTTCAAGATAATAACAATTTCTTAAGTAAAATTATGATTTTAAATTTAACAAGAATAACATGTTTAAATTTAAGCCATAAAAATAATTAAATAAAATTTCAGAGAAAAACAAAACAGAAATAAAGGGAAAATCTCATTTTAAAAATGGAACAATGAGTCAAAAATGAAAATGCTGGCTTACACTCAGAGAAAGAATTAAAAACAGAGAGAAGGAGAAACAGAGAGGGCTATGAATAGAGAAACTTTAAAAAAATTATCTTATACATTATGGCCTTAAAAATGCCACCTAAAAGACTTAAATATCGGTGCTACTTCTACAACTTGAGTTACAAATCAAGGCATATTATATAACAAACTAAAACAAAGTTAAACCAAGTTAAGAGTAGATGGGTCACACGATGTAAGCAGTGATGTAATTTACCTCGAACATATTAAAATGTGAAAAAGAATTGAAGAATATGGCTATTAAGTAGATCTATATTTATTATTATTGATTGAATTTCATTAGGAGGTACTTAAAATAATTGCTCCAACATCCAGAACAGAATTTGGAATTGCTATTACCAAATGTTTGTGGCAAAAATATGGTAATTATAAGAGAATTACCAGGATAAAATTTTTTGAAAAACTGACTTACTCCTTGAGTAACAGCCACATGATTATTAAAATATACTAAATGTAAGCCCAAATATGAAGAACAAAACATAAAATGCTGTTATACATATCTACATTTTAAGATACTTTAAACAGCAATCTTGTTCTGAAATTCCTACAATTTAAAACTGTAATTATCACTACAGAGAAAAAAGATGTTTTAAAAATGAGCTGTAAAAACACACATAAAAGTAAAAACATTATTTTGCCCATATTTAAAGCTGCATATTTCTATCTGAAGATATAAATCAGTACATCAATATTTGCTAAATTCCTACAATGTAGAAAGCACTGTTAAAAAGAACAGAGTAACTGTAGGGCAGATAGTAAAAAGAAAAAAATTAAAACACAACTTTTAAAACAATATGCAAAAGCAATGTTATATTAAATTGGTTAAGATTTTCTTCATTTTTCAAAATATAATATACTATCTTTTCAACAATACACTGTGACACTGTTCACAAAAAAGCTTAGCAAACATAAAACTATGGGACTCTGTATTCTCACAGAAGTAACACAGGGCAAGGCTGTGTAAAGTGCCTAAACTGGAACCCGGATTCTGTTACTTAGTCCGGATTAGTGTGGCTTTAGGAATGGAACAACTTCTCTGAGAAAAGGCATGCTCATCTGTAAAATAAAAACCATGACTACTTTACAGGGCCATTGTGTGGATTAAATTAGTCACTATATGTGAAGTGCTTAGGATAGCACGTAGAAGAAAGTAAGCATTATACAAATGTTACTTTTATTACTATAGTAAGTCCTCACTTAACATCATCTATGAATTATGTGACTTTAAGTGAAATGATGTATAACAAAACCAATTTTACCACAGGCTAATTGATATAAGCAAGGATTACGTTCCTATGATATCTCATCACTGTTATTATAACAAAATGACATTGAACAAAACAATGTTATTTGAGGGCCTGCTGTATTACAATTATAATCATAGTATTATCCCTTCTCTATCTGGCAGCACTGTACACTGTCAGCCCAGTTTGGATTCTTATGGTTCAAGATACAGCTATTCTCCATGACCCCTCCTCCCAAAAAAGAACAGTAATGAGTGTACATTTTTAGTATTCGAACACTACCAAGGTCTCGGTTTCTAAACCAGAAAGAGAATAATTAACTAAAATGTTCAGCTAGACTCCATGATAGTATTTAACCTCATCTCTCTCTTTAAAGGGAAACAAATCAATGTGAAGTACCCTGAGGGGATATTTTTTCTTTAAAATTCTGAGAACTATACATTTTCTAGACTTGATATGCTACCACGTATCTTCTTTATACCAAGTGGAGGGCTTGCAATCCCTAATTTTTTTTTCTACAATGTACCACTCATCACTTAACTGATAAAGAGGCAACTATCTGGAAGTTAAATTCTAGAGCTGTGAGTATCCAATAAGCCCAAGTGAATAACACAGAGCCTCAGAAATCACATGAATCACACTTAATACACATTAATTGCAAGGTCAACGTGAGCTAGGTTTTTTCTCGATTAAATTAGGTTTTCTTACCATATATCTTGTATATGCTGGCATTTTTAATCACTCACCTGACATTAAAAATTAAAGTATTTTCTATAAAATTAAGTATTTTATGAAGCTCTGAGAAAAATATTTGAAAGTAATAGGTACAATTTGAAATGTAAAGATATCCATTAGAAAAATTAAATGACATAGAAACAAAATATCTTTGTCAACTTAATGATATAGAATATATTAGGAGATACAAAAGGATAATAATGTTGATTTTAACTAAAAATTTTAAACTCTGAAGTTCAACTTGTTTAAGCTTCACATAATAAATATTTAGACACTTACAGTTTTCTCCTCTGCAGTAAGAACACCCTCTACTGCCACTATCTGGTATTGTTTATGCTTTAAATTTCCCACAAATTTCCGAAGTTGCTTGAGACTGCTTGCCTCCATGTCTTGCTTTAGTAGTTTCTGCATTTCTCGAGAAGGACATCCAGGATCAAATATTAGCAAGCATAATGTTCGGTTTTTTCTTTCTTCAATTCCAATAACTGTTCGACTATGACCTATCAAAAAGTAAAGTAACAGCTAACAGCTATACATATGTAAGTATAACTATAACTATTCTCTATAACTATTCATACAGATAGAAATAACTATGTATACACATACTACATAATCTCTGTGTATGCAGAGTGTGCAGAAATGTGTGTTTAGAAAATAAATACAGCTAGTCCCTCTGACGTGGAGGTACCTGAGCTCTCAATCCTAAGATGTAAGAGTTTTAATTCTACTTTCTAACTGTCAGTTTTCCTTTGTTCAATTTTAGTTTTCTAAAGCTTTCATTACAAAAAATTCCCTACCGTGCCATGCATTTTAGTTTTTCTTTCCTAATTCTTTGATCCTTTCAATTTAGGTATCTCAAATGCAAGGATCTGAAATGTATCTGTCACAAAACAAAGCTCTAATGGTTCTAAAAGGTAAACAAAAGTAAATCTATACAAGGAGGGGCAAAAGTAGGTGTACAGCTGTATGTGAAGCACAGTTTATTCTCGTATTATAATTTATTAATTATTATATTATTTTCCATGTGAATAACTATAAACCTACATTTGCCCCACCCTGTATATATTGGGTTGGCCAAAAAGTGTTTTTCTATATGATGGCTCTACCAGCACTTAGTTGTCTTTAACTCCATTCAAAACAATTTTGTTAGGTTGTATTGTGACAGCTGTTATATCAGCGTGTATCTTCTAAAAACTTATCAAAATTGGTGAATATTTGTGTAGCCATTTTAATATTGAAGATGGGATAAAATATGGAACATTTTAAGCACATTATGCTTTATTATTTCAAGAAAGGTAGAAACACAAAAAAAGATTTGTGCAGTATATGGAGAAGGTGCTATGACTGATTGAACAAGTCAAAAGTAGTGCTTTCTCACTGGATGATGCTCCACCCTTGGGCAGACCAGCTGAGGTTGACAGTGATCAAACCAATGTATTAACTGAGAACAATCAATGTTCCACCACAAGGGAGATAGCCGACATACTCAAGATATCCCAATCAAGAAAGTTATTGGAGAAAATGAAAAATGTGCCTTTTACTTTATGAAAAAACTAAATGAATTTCTTGGCCAACCCAATATTTTGACTACTTTTGCTGAAATAAAAAGCCGAGTGACAATTTTCCCCAAAACAAAGGGACATTCTGCCCTCTTAGATAAATTCAATCTTCTCCTGAGAAATATAAAATATGCTATCAATTTTAAAACAAAAAGTTCTCATAAGTCCCAACGCCCAATTAGCCATCAATTTAAAAAGTACTTGTGTCCTGTTTCATATGGGGAACGCTGTTATATTAAAAAAAAGATTTATGAAGCGAAGGGCATTGGTGGTACTTGGTAGCAATGCAGAGTTCTATAATAATTGGACATAACTCTTATGTAATGCTAGGCACAAATAATTTTAAGTGAAAAATATATTAACATTTAACATCCTGCAGTGAATACTAATAGTAACTATACTTTACATAATCAATGTTAGGCACAGAAAAGTTACATGACTTCCCCAGTTAATAAATTGGAACTGAGATTCAAAACCAGACAGCCTTGTGAAGCAATCCTCACCTTCACATGTCTAAAAACAGCCAAAAATGTCAGGGAATATAACACTAAATACCCTGGTTCTGTAGAAAACCTACTGGAAGTCAAAAGACTTGGGCTTTAGAACTTACAAAACTAAGTTTTTACTCTTAGCCCATTTTATTTTTTAAAGTGCCCCCCATCTTCTTAAAAGATTTTATTTATTTTTAGAGAGGGAAGGGAGGGAAATAGAGAGAGAGAGAAGCATCAATGTGTGGTTGCTGGGGGTCATGGCCTGCAACCCAGGCATGTACCCTGACTGGGAATCGAACCTGCGACACTTTGGTTCACAGCCTGTGCTCAATCCATTGAGATACGCCAGCCAGGGCTCTTTTAGCCCATTTTAACTCAAACTGATATTCTCTTGGTAATTCCTAATTCTCAAGTGATTTTTGGCAACTGAGAAATATTGAGATCATTTCATTCAGCATTATGGTAGACAGAAAAATAGTTTCCCAAAGATGTCCACATCTTAGTCCCTGAAACCTGTGAACATAGTATTTACAGGGCAAAAGGAACTTTGCAGATATGATTAAGACTATGGATCAGGAGATGTAGAGATTTTCATGGTTCATCCTGATGGGCCAAATCTAATCACATGAACCCTTAAAAGTGGAGAACTTTCCAGGGCTGTGTCAGAAAAATGAAATGTGAAGATTCAGTTGGCCATTACTCGCTTTGAAGATGGAGGAAGGGGCCATGAGACAAGGCATGTGGTGGCACCTGGGACATGGGAACAGCCATCATCTGACAGCCAGCAAGGAAGCAGGATATCAGTCCTACAACCACCAGGAAGAGACTGCTGCCAGTGACGGAATAGGCAGGAAAGGACTATCTCCTAGACCTTGAGAAGAAATTCCAGCCTGCTGACCTCTTAATTTTAGTCTTGTTATACCCAAAGCAGACTTCTGACCTAAAAAAGTGTAAGATAATAAATCCGTGTTGTTTTAAGCCACAAAGTTTGTGGTAATTTGTTATGTTAGCAACAGAAAAGTAGTACAAGCACCCGGAGCTAACATTTGTAAGTGTTCACATGACTTCTTCTCCACCATTCAGGGACTAGGAAATCGGCTAATTCTTTCACCTTAATTAAAGAATATTAAAGAGCTATCACTTTATGTCCACAGTGTATCATCCTGTTACATGTCTGAGGAAATGATACACACGCTGGACACACCCACACGGGTACTGAAGGTGCTGCCAACCCAATACTCGAATTTCAATATGGAGGCTCAACCTTCACAGCTTGTGTTCCTAAATGATAAAATGCCCAACATTTACTTTTCTATATTCCTGTCAATCCAGATCATCCGTTCCAAAAATTTATCACATATGCGTGTGCCAGGCACTACTATAGGCAGTTAGTGATACAGGAGCGAACAAAACAAACATTCCTGCTGTCCTGGAGCTTAAATTACAGTAGGAAGAAATACTCTATAAACAAGATAAGTAAGTATGTATATTATGATATATATATTTTTTAAAAAGTTGTGATAGAACTAGTGGTTGGAGGTTAGGATAGTGAGATGCGATTTTAAAATAAGGTGGTTAGGGAAGGCCTCATTGAAGTGACATACGGGTAAAGACTGAGGGTGGTGGGGGGTGGACGAATAAACAAGAAAGGAAGTGAACCAGGCAGCCCTGCAGATACAGGGATATCATCTCTCATTACCCAGGAATGAACTGTAATGAAAATGTAACTATGAAAATCAGATGGACCATTGTCACAATACTGCCCTCCTCTTTATTAGCAGAATTGTAATCTGTCCTAAAGCAAAAGCCAATTCATTGTCTTTTAAAAAGATGGTCTTATAAACTATACTTATTATCCATGAGATTTACTAACCTTGATGCTGAAGATAGATAGGAGGTTTAGATGTACAAAGTACTTTTGGACCCCCTTCCCTCTCCGAAGAGTAATAGTTCAATATCCATTCAAATAAGCGAGGATGTGTACCCAAAGGACCAGTTGACTTGTGAAAATCCACAATACGGCACCTACAGAAAAAGGACAAAATAGATTATTTGGAATATATTTTTAAAATTATTTTCATCAGTGGAGTTATCAAATACAAAAAAATTTTAGTTTAGAACTAATTCTATCTTATTTTCTTAGGAGAAAAATATACAAAATTTTATTATTTACATAGAAAACTATCATTTATGAAAAAATAATTATTTAAATAACTTCATAAGGTTGATTATCTAAAATTTACAAAGATTTTCTGACATAAAATCTCTATGAATAGTAAATGAGGATATTTTATCTTTAAAAGTCATCAACATATAACTTGAGACACAGCTTTTATTCTAAAGCCTCTGAACCTGATAATCAATTAGAAGCAGAATTCTAATTTTAATTCTTCAACAGCCATTCTTATCTACCAAAAAATATCCTGAATATTCTTCTTGTCAGCTCTCCAAAATTCTAGTAATAAATGAGAAAAGAATACCTGTAAAAATCATAGAAAAACCTGGATGTATCCCTATCTAAACGTCCGTCTATCTACCCATCATCTCCCATTTGTCACCAGACTCCAGGGGTGGTATTGTTTCCTCAAAAGGAAGCCAACCTTGAATAAACAAAATTATTTTAACCAGAAACACTGTTTATATTCTTCAACAACTATTTTAAAAAGGTCAGGTATAAACAAAAACAATTAAAACCTTTATTTTCACTTTAAAGTATAGCACAGATATTCTGTTCTTATCTCTCTTGGCAATAAAATCTTCAAATATACCCAAATTGTAATGGTTGTTAATCTTGAACTAGTAAGTTTAATGCTGATAACTTTCAAACTGATTACTAATGAGCTTTAAATGTTGAAATGAAGTTTTGTATAATTGTTAAAAGGTAGAAACAGTGCTTGGGTTAGCAGTTGACTGCATTATTGATATTTAGAATGTGAATAGTAACTAATTCACAGAGTGCAAAAGGAAGACACTTAAATAACTAGTAAAGAAATTCAAGGTTAGTAATAAAAAGGCTTTCTTAAGAGGACGGCTAAAGTATTTCAGGTATCAAGAAAAGAAGCTGGACATATCAAGTATTTTAGATGGAAAATTTCCTTTCCTTAAAACTTATTTAAAAGCTGAAACATAATAAAAGAAAAAAAAAGGATAAAAGAAATTTAGAGGGCATAAAAATAGTCCCTTCAATTCAAGTAATTCAAGAAAGTTATTATACACATTAGTTTTTTTATTTAAATTTTAAAAAATAGCTTCACCTCTAAACCTAATCAATTAATATGGCAGAGATGGTGTAAAACCCTGGCTAAATTACCTAGGAACAAACATAAAAGAAAATATGGATTCAGGATGCTTAAGGCAAACTTTCCATTCAAGATGCTCAAGAGTGTATACCTCTGCTCCCTCTTCAGAGTCCAACAACATAATAATGAAGGAAAAAGAGATTCAAACACCCAGGGACAAGGAGAATGAGGAAAGATAAGAAACTGCCACACAATTCAGAAAAGTGGAAAACTGCATTAAACTGAATGTAAAGACACAAAGATAACTGTCTTAAAACCCCACAGAGGCTGAAAGGTTAGAGGCACAAGGTAGTGGGGAGAGTAGCAGTGGGAATAAAAATTTGACATGGACTGTAAATTTGCATAAAGAAGGCAAATCATTCCTCACCCCCTTCATTTGTTCTACCCCCCCAACCACGCACACAAAGGCAGGAGCTATCACAGCAGAGTGGAGAACTCTTCTCTGAATGGCTTCTGAGAAAAGATCTCTCTGTATGGATATTTGACACTTGCCCAATCAAATAGCGAGTTTCCACCTAAGACTCCTTAAACAAAGTCTGCTAATCTGCAAGCTCCATGCAATCCTACAGGACCTCCAAGCAGCTTTTTAGAACCCCATTCCTAACTTTAGGAGTAGAAAATTAAGGGTTTACAAAAGTTAGAATGCCTTCAAAATGGAAAAGACTAAAATAGACATGAAAACAAATTAACATGGAGGAAAGAGAAAAATGCAAGGAATAGAAAGGTACAAAATGTTGGAAAAAAACTGTGCAATCACAAAAGAATATGATGCTATAAAATTGAGCCTTAGAATTAAATACATGATTGCTAAAATAAACATTTCAATACAGTAGCTGGGAGGTAGAGTTGAGTGAATCTAGACAGTAAAACAAAAAGTAAATATAAAAAATGAGACATGACCAATAAAATTACAAGTTAAACTGGTAGCTGTTACTACATTCCTGTCACAATTCCAAGCACTTTATTATCTCATTTAATTATCACTATAACTCTATGAAGCAGTTACTATTTATATGTTCTTTTATCAGGATAGAATTACTCTGTACACAAGGTAAATAAGGGTTAAGTCACAGAGCAGGTAGACTAGAAAGCCTGCAGCATTTACAGGTAGCTTGACTCCAAAGTCCAGCTTTTATATACTATATTGAGATCTTACAACTCACCATTTCAGATTCAGAAGGAAAACCAAATACTCAACACAATATACCAAAGCCCCACATTCCAGAGTGAAATGTCATCTTATCAGGGCTAAAAGAAGATGCAAAAAACTCCCAAAGAAAGTAAATAGATTATATATTCAGGAATGAAAGTCATGTGGCATATTATCTTTTCTTTTCTTAAAAACTTAAGGTTTCTCTTTTTTAAAGCTTTTTATTTATTTATTTTTAGAGAGAGGAGAAGGGAGGGAGAAAGAGAGAAACATCAATGTGTGGTTGCCTCTCACGTGGCCCCCACTGGTGACCTGGCCTGCAACCCAGGCATGTGCCCTGACTGGGAACTGAACCAGCGACCCTTTGGTTCACAGCCTGTGCTCAGTCCACTGAGCTATATCAGCCAGGGCTTCTTTTCAATAGTAATACTAACTGCTAGAAATGAACAGAGTAAAAACTTAATATGGTCTGAAAATGATTCTAAATTTAGAATAATATAGTACATTTAAGTAATAGGGACTAGGCACCTTTTTTTAGAAAGTTGATGAAGGAAGTGTTTAAGCAAAAGGCAGTAATCCTAAAAGAGAAAGACATGGAATTTAGGAAAAACCCAGTCTCCAATTCAAGAAAAAAGTGCTACATGATTAGCCATGGAGAGGATCTAGACGTGAAATAACCCAGACTGGAGCAGAGAGGATGGATGGCTTCACGTGGAGGGGTCCAGGAATAGGCGTGCCGCACATTACATGGCAGCAGAGTGTTCAGAAAAACTTAAGACTGCAAAGCAGTGAAACAGTAAAAAGGAAAAGGAAAGGCAATTTTTAACTCAAGGAACAAAGGTTAAAACCTTCAGGAAAGAAAATAAAATCAGTGATGAAATGTTTACACAGTCATAATGTAAACTCAATGAACACTGAGATTCAACCATATTAGGAGGATTGTGAGTGAACAAGAGGGAGATGTGAGAGGAACGCAGCAGCCGATGTCTAAAACTGATAATCAACAACAACAAAAAAAGCCATGAAAGCATGTTATTTAAAAACAATGGAAGCAACAGCTAGCTGCCTCTAAGAAATGGGACTTGATAGGAGAGAGGAACATGAAATAGAGAACGAATTGCTGGTTTGCTGGTTTTCATTATAAACCTTTTAGTGCTACTTAAATTTTATTTTTTAACTATGGCTTTGATAGAAAAATAAACACATAAAAAGGAACAATAAAACCTGCCAGATGTGACAGTAATAGTAACCTGGCTTTTTAGGTACATACTTTACCCTTAGGGAGGTCAGAAGTGTATATATTTCACATGCTCCAATCCAGGCCTTTGTTCCCTGTAACTTGTTATTGAGTTGAGAGGCACCCTGAGGATCAAAACCTTCCCTCCATGCATCTTCAATCATAGACTGAATTTTTGGAATACAAGGAATTGACATACCTAAAATCATACAAGCAAACACGTTACATGACAGGTACTGAAGTGCAGAATATCATTTAGCAGTGTACCATTTATTCTAGGGGAGTCAACAAAACAGTTTTTAAGACGATTATTCCTGACATCTTCTTCTTCTTCTCTTTTTTAAAAAGACTTTATTTATTTACTTTTAGAGAGAGGAGAAAGTGGTTGCCTCTCACGCATCCCGTAGTGGGTACCTGGCCCACAACCCAGGCATGTGCCCTGACTGGGAATTGAACCAGCTATCCTTTGGTTCGCTGTTTGAGTGGCAGGCTGGTACTCAATCCACTGAGCCACACCAGCCAGGGATGACATCTTCTATTGTATCAGTTTCTCTTCTTCCAATCAGAATTCAGGATTTTAATGTAAATATCCAACAAAAGACTTCTTCGTTAAAGCTATTAATTGTGCCCACTATGTGTGAATTCACTCCATATTACATGTAGTGCATCGGATGACAAGTTCAAAGTACTGCACTTCACATACCTTTCAAGCAATCATCATAAGCATCATTTTGTAATAATGATGACAGGAGCATTTGGAAATTTCTGTAACCGCAACCCCAGCCTTTGTCACCATAAGATGAATGAAAGTGATCCAGCACTGCAGAAAGCCACACACGTCTCACATCTGGGGCAGCATTCTGATAATACCTATAAAGTGCTTCAATAATTCCTAAAGTAGGAAAGAGATTTAGAAGATTAAGAAGAATTAGTTATCTTCCTATGGCTGTCTAATATGTCTCTAATATTAATCTGTCCCTCAAGCACCACATCTAAAACCTGTCAATTCCATCTTGTCTTTTTTTTTTGTTTTTTTTTTCCTATAAATTTTAGAGAGAGGGGAAGGGAGAAGGAAAGGGAAAGAAACATCAATGTGAGAGAGAAACACTGACGGGCTGCCCTTCATATGTGCCCTGACTGGGAATCGAACCAGCAACCTTTTGGTTTGCAGGACAACGCCCAACCAACCAAGCCACACTGGCTGGGTCTTCTTTATCTTTTTACTGATATAACCTTAGTTCATATCCTGCTTTGCCATTAAATCAATCACTTCTAAACTTCAAGGCAGCTTATCAAAAGGACATATTATATGATAGTGCTATGTTCTATAATCTTTTACATTTATATTTATTTTAAATTATATATAAACTAGTGGTTCTATAGTAACTTTAAATATATATGCACAATCCTGGCTGGTGTGGCTCAGTGGATTGAGTGTTGGCCTGTGAACCAAAAGCTCGCTGGTTTGATTCCCAGTCAGGGCACATGCCTGTGTCATGGAGAGGTGATGGACTGATATATCTCTCACACGTTGATGTTTCTCTCCCTCTTTCCCCCTCCCTTCCCCTGTCTCTAAAACTAAATAAATAAAATCTTAAAATATATGCACAAATGGAAATGAAAGAATGACACAAATTAAAAACAAATACAAGTTCTAATATTTTCTCCCTGTACACCCCAATGGAATCATGTTACACATTTCCCAGGATCTACTTTTCCACATAGAAACTTTTTATGTGAAGACCCTTAGAGAAGTGTATGTGGAGAATGTGCAGAATCACTAAGTTGGTGCTGAGAAAAATAAGCAATAAGAAATTTAACTATTGTTATAAATAAAGGGAAAATATTTGATCCATACCTTCTCTTTCTCTCCCACACATATATGTACAAATAAATTCCAAGTGGATTAAAGCCAAAATATGAAAATAAAAGTATGAATATTTAAAGAAAATAAAAAGAAACATGTTTATAATCTAAAAGATGGGGGAGTTTCTTAAACAAGACACTTGGGATACAAATAAAGGGAAAGATTGAGAAATCTTATGTTCAAATGTAAAACTCTGCGTAAGACATCCCATACAAAAATACTAAAAATGGTCTTATGATCCAGCGGTTCTACTTCTGGGTATATATCTGAAGAAATCCAAAACACTAATTCAAAAGAATATGTATAACCCCAATGTCCATCACTGGATAACTGGATTTAAAAAAGCTGTGGTATATATATGCAATGGAGTATTACTTGGCCCTATAAAAGAATGAAGTCCGACCACTTGCTAGAGCATGCATGGGCCTACAGGACATTATGTTAAGTGAAGTAAGTCAGTCAGACAAAGACAGATCCCATATGATTTCCCTTGTATGTGGAATCTAAAGAGCAAAATAAATGAACAAATAAAATTGACAGACCGAGATACAGACAACAGACTGATAATAGCCAGAGAGGAAGGAGTTTGGGGGACTGGGTGAAAAAAGTAAAGGGATTAAGAAGTACAAATTGGTAGTTACAAAACAGTCACAGGGACATAAAGTACAGCATAGTGAATACAGTCAGTTATACTGTAATAACTGTATGGTACCAGGTGGGTACTGGAAATATCAGGGGCACCACTCTGTAAAGTACGACTGTCTTACCACTATGCTGTACACATGAAACTAATACAACGTAACACTGACTATAAACTGTAATTGAAAGTTAAAATAAAAAAAATACATACTATATACAAAATTTAAAGGCAAAAAATTATAGACTTGAAGATATTTACACCTCATAAAATCAGCAAAAAATTAGAATTCTGAATACTAAAAGGAGTCCCACAAATTAATAAGAAAAACAATCCAACAGAGAAAGGACAAATGAATGGAATAGGTTATTTACTAAAGAAGCTCCTGCCTCAGGAGTAATCTAGGAAAGGCAACAATACAGTTGCCACAGCAGCCATTACCTACACGGGGCTACTGAGTGCTTGGAATGTGGCGTGCCCCCTGGAGGTGTTACACCCAGGATAAAACACATGCTGGGTTCTGAAGAACGCACAAAGACTGCAAAGTATCTCATTAATAGTTTTTAATGTTGATTACATATTAAAATAATATTAGGAAACAAATGGACTTAAAAAGTATTAACATTAATTTTACATGGTCCTTTTTACTTTTTTTAATGTTGACTACTGAAAATTTAAAATTGTATCTGTGGCCCACTTATACTTCTATTAAATGGCATTTATCTATAACATAGGAAGCACTTAATAAAAACTTTTTTAAACAGTTAATTTTCAAATACGAAGTAAATTTACACAACATAAAAGTAAATTATTTACTATAAAAACAGAAGTTTAAAAGTTTCAAAATAACACATCTTAAAAATTATTTGAACACAGTCTAACCTAAAATTATATAAACTGTGGATTATGAAAATTAGGCGAACTTCCAATAATTCCAATTATTACTTCAGTAATATATATAGTATTAAAACCGTGGTTTCAATGTTTAAGTACTCACCAGAAGTTCTTGTTTTCCCATCATCAATACCAACAGCTAGTGATTCCATCATGTCAGCTTTCCTTCTATGAAACTCAGACGGAGGCATTCTTCCATGATTCACTTCCCTCTCCAGACTTCGGAGGTGCTGTTGCTTGTACCCTCCAGAACCGTCTAAACCGTATTGTTGCTATTGAACATAAAAACAAGTAACTTAATTTTTATGTGATTTTATGTCTACAATAAAATTGTGGAAGGAGACTTGCCACAATTTTATTTATCTTAAATTGCATTTTGAAACATTCTGGTTTACAGACTTTTATAAAAGTCAACTTCAAGATTTTTATGAAAAAATAAATCACACACCCACAGAATCCCTGTGTTAGTAACAGCCTTTCTCTAGAAACAACCATCATGGCAAGAAACTTGCTTTTCTTGAAGTAGAGAAAGTAGAGAATCCTGTCTTCCTACTAGAAGAACTGCGAAAGGCAGACGAATTCTGAACATACTGCTGATTTTTTCAAGGAAACCTGTCAGTACTTGATATTGGGTTCCCAGGCAAGCCTACAAATGCCTACTTAATTCATAATTCATTCAGGCATTCATTCTAGTAAATGAACTGTTCTGGCACACTGAACAGAGAATCTCAAATATGTATAATACAGCTGTCATTGAAAGAGTGTCAGAGATCTAAACAACTAACTTGCAAAGTTACATAATAAAATTAAATCCCTTTTAATATTGGAAACTTTTTGTATTCATAATGTTCAAAATTACATTAAGCAAGAAAACTTGGGAAAAGCCAAATATTTTGCAAGTAAATGAATCACCGATGAGAAAAATAGCCTAAATTAGATATTCTGAAGTAGAATTAAGCTACACTGTTCCTTAGGCCCTGATCCACTGAAACCAGCAGAACAGAGAGACAGCAGAACAAGGGGGGTTCAGGGTTCTGCCCACCTCAGCGCCTAGACAGAGCTGCTCTCTGAGCCAAGCAGGAAAGAGCCACCCCTTTACACAGATTGGCTCCTCACAGGAAATGGACAGCTAATTTACCTGAAACCACACATATTGGAAAAAACCTGATACCGACCAAGTCGTGTAGCAAGGGGGCAGGGATGCATTCCCACTATCTTCCCTGAAAACTGAACAGCAGCCCCTGAGGGGGTGCCCCAGGGTTTCCACTCTCCCAGTTGGAAGAGGCCCCTCTGGAGGCAGGTGGAGAAGATACTGGCAGTCCCCTTGGGTCATTAAATGAACCACTCCTGGGCCATGGGCTGATGCAAAACTAGCACAACAGAACAGTGGAGACTAGTCAAGCCTGCAGGGGACAGCCAGACTGTGGATCACTTAGTCTCAAACAGGATGCCTAGGGCCAGAGTAGGACATCATCTGACATTACCAGGGGCAGATCCAGAAAGAGAAGATAGTGGTAAACACTGGATTCTACGGGCATGAATTCCACTGTGGTCTTTTTCAGTATTTGTGTTATTCTTTCTTCTGCATAGCTTTTTAACATTCATTTCTTTTCCTTCAAGTTTGTGCCTATTCTTTTACTAGTTTTTTAATTTTAGTTTATTTCAAATCTCATAGTTTGCTCCTCCCTTCTCTTACTCATTTTACCTTCTTTATTCCTCTTATTTTTATTTTAAATTTTATTTTTTCTCTGGCTACCACTTGTTTCTATTCTGCATTCTTACTATTTCTCCCCACTCCAGATTCTCAAAACCATTTTTCCTATCATTACTCATCTCACATTCTTTATCCTGTTCTTAAAATACCAGTATTTTCTCTCCACCTTTATCGATCTTCACTTGTTGGTTATTGATATGGTGGTTGTTGCATTTCTTCAATTCTATTCCTAGATCTTCACTATTTTTGTATTTCAAATCTCAAATTTTAAAACTCAAAACAATTCAAATACATGGAGACTGAATAACATGCTATTAAAGAATGAATGGGTTAACAATGAGATCCAGGAAATCAAAAAGTATCATGAAACAAATGAAAATGAACACACAAGAGCGCCAGACCTACGGGACACAACGGAGGCAGTCTTGAGAGGCAAGTTCATAGCAATGGAGGCCTACCTAAAAAAGATAGAAAAATCTGAAATAAACCACCTAACCCTACAACCCTATAAGAACCAGATGAATGACAACAAAGCCCAGAGCAAGTAGAAGGAAGGCAATAATCAAGATCAGAGTAGAATTAAATGACATAGAGACTAAAAAAGCAATTTAAATGATCAATATATCCAGGAGCTGGTTCTTTGAAAAGATAAACAAAATTGACAAGCTTTTAACTAGACTCATCAAGAAAAAAAGAGAAAGGACCCAAATAAATAAAATCAGAAATGAAAGAGTAGACGTTACAACCAATACCACAGAAGTACAAAAGATTGTAAGAAATTACTACAAACAACCATGTGCCAAGAAATTGGACAACCAGGGCAAAATGGACAAATATCTAGAAACATACAATCTTCTAAAACTGAATCAAGAAGAAGCAGAAAGCCTGACTAGACACATAACACCTGGTGAAATTGAAGCAGTAATCAAAAACTCCTGGTACACAAAAGCCCTGGACAGGACAGATTCCCTGGTGATTTTTACCAAACATTTAAAGAACACAGCAGTGTTATTTACAGTAGCCAAGTGCTGGGAGCAACCTAAGTGCCCATCAGTAAATGGGTGGATCAAAAAACTATGGTACAGTTACACAAGGGACTACTATGCAGCAGAAAAGAAAGAATGAACTCCTACCTTTTGTGACAGCATGGGTGGAACTGGAGAACATTATGCTAAGTGAACTAAGCCAGGTGGTGAAAGACAAATACCGTATGATCTCATCTATAAGAGGAACCTAATGAACAAAACAAACAAGCAAAACAGAACCGGAGGCATAGAAATAAGGAACAGATTGACTGAGACCAGAGGGGAGGAGGAGGGGGATAACTGTGGAAAGAAGGGGAAGTGACTAGTCAAGGAACATGTATGAATGACCCATGGACAATAGGGTAAGGAACGACAATGGGAGAATGGGGTGGGGTGAGCTGGGCAGAGGAAAGAAAAGGGGGAAAAACTGGGACAACTGTAATAGGACAACAATAAAATATTTAATAAAAAAATAAAATAATTTCTTCATGGAGTTGTTGTAAGGATTTTGGGATTTATAAATGAAGTGCTTACCCCAGTACATGACCAGAATGAGTACTTACAAATGGTGGCTGTTATGAACTATAAAATATTGAATAGGTATTAAAACTATTTAGTATAATAACTTGGACAAAATACACTGAAGTCCTGGCAGCACAACTGAAAATTAAGAATTCTACCAGTATTATAACAGTTACAATCTATGTACCTGCAGCTTCTGAAATTCGTCCCTTTCTTGTATTGATTCTTCAGATCTCCTCTTCTGGTCTTCTTCTTGTTGAAGCTGGTGAGCCAGTTCCAGATCTCTAGAACACTGAATTCTCTCCATGCCTGGTGGATACTTTTAGTGTTTAGAATAACTACTGAAATCAAAGCTTATCTATTATATACCTATATATATTTTTAAATGGAGTAAATGCTATCACTTTGCCATCTGTACATGCCTGTAATGTCACAAAAACAGTATATACAAATTTGGCAGAACTTAATCTATAAGGGTATAAACTCCATTTAAGTCACTAATATTCACTGAGTGTTTAGGTTGTGACAAGGACTTTTCATTAATTACCTCATTTGGATCCTTCTAATAATCTTAGAAAGATAGGTTATCATCTTCTGAAGAAACCAGAACTTAAGAGATATTAACTAACATCCTTCAGTGGTGTTCCTTATTAACACAAATCAGATAAAATACAGGTATCAGATCATACAGGCATTAATTATAGTCTGCTCCAAACAAATAATACAACTTTACAACATCTTTGCTCCATTTCCTCTCTATATCCAGTGTTCCACAGGTCCATTGGTTTCTGGCCAGTATCTTATCTTCTTAACCTCCCAATTTGGTGGTTTATGTATTTGAATATTCTTTCTTTCCTTTCAAATCTCTCACCTTCCACTACACCTTCCTATTTTTTTAATATATTTTATTGATTATGCTATTACAGTTGTCCCATTTCCCCCCTTCACTCCCCTCCACCCTGTACCCCCTCTCCCACCCACATACCCCCTTTAGTTCATGTCCATGTGTCATACTTAGGAGTTCTTTAGCTTCTACATTTCCTGTACTGTTCTTGCCCTCCCCCTATCTATTTTCAACCTACATTCTATGCTACTTATTGTCTGTACCTTTTCCCCCCTCTCCTCCTCCCACCCCCCCTGTTGCTAACCCTCCATGTGACCTCCATTTCTGTGGTTCTGTTCCTGTTCTAGTTGTTTGCTTAGTTTCTTTTGGTTTTGCTTTGGGTGTGGTTGTTAATAATTGTGAGTTTGCTGTCCTTTTACTATACATGTTTTTTCTTTATCTTCTTTTCTTAGATAGGTCCCTTTAGCATTTTATAAAATAAGGGCTTGGTGATGATGAACTCCTTTAACTTGACCTTATCTGAGAAGCACTTTATCTGCCCTTCCATTCTAAATGAGAGCTTTGCTGGATAGAGCAATCTGGGATGTAGGTCCTTGTCTTTCATGACTTGGAATACTTCTTTCCAGCCCCTTCTTGCCTGTAAGGTCTCTTTTGAGAAATCAGCTGACAGTCTGATGGGAACTCCTTTGTAGGTGACTGTCCCCTTATCTCTTGCTGCTTCTAGGATTCTCTCCTTCATTTTTACCTTGGCTAATGTAATTATGATGTGCCTTGGTATGTTCCTTCTTGGGTCCAACTTCTTTGGGGCTCTCTGAGCTTCCTGGATTTCTTGGAAGACTATTTCCTTTGTCAGATTGGGGAAGTTCTCCTTTATTAATTGTTCAAATACATTTTCAATCTGTTGCTTTTCCTCTTCCCCTTCTGGTACCCCTATAATTCGGATGTTGGAACGTTTAAAGGTGTCCTGGATGCTCTTAAGCTTCTCCTCATTTTTTCGAATTCTTATTTCTTCATGCTTTCCTGCTTGGTTGATTCTATCTTCCTTCTGGTCCACTGTATTGTTTTGAGACCCAGTTTCCTTCCCTTCACTATTGGCTCTCCTCCGTGTATCTTCCTTCAACTCTTTTATGGTAACCTGCATCTTTTCATCTAATTTGCGCCCAAAATCAACCAATTCTGTTAGCTTTCTTATCATCAGTGTTTTCAACTGTGCATCTGATAGATTGGCTATTTCTTGGTCGCTCAAAAGGATGAGTCCTGGGGGACTGATCTGTTCTTCTGTTGGAAACGTCTCTCCCTGTCTCTCCTTTTTTTTTCCCCTTTTTTTCCGGTCTGGTTGCTCTTGTTATGGTGGGGGGCGGAGCCTTAGGTGTTCACTGGGGCTGGGCACCCCAGTCTCTAGACTGTGACATTATATGTGGGGTGGGGGCAGGGACAGGAGGGAACAATGGCAGTAGTTCCGTTCTCCTGGGATCTCAGTCCCTTCTCTGGGATCCTGGGCTGCCAGCTCTGCCCTGGTCCACAATCGCTGCCTCACTGGGTCCGGCAGCTGCAGCTTGCGAACTCAGGGACCACCGTTGCGTTCTTGTGCGCCCCAGATGGCCGAGTTCGCGGCAAGTTTTCCCTGACCTCCGCCCGCCTGGCTCATCCTCGGCCCCTCCTACCAGTCTGGATGTACGGGTCTACTTCAACTTCTTGGCTGACCGACTTCCATTCAGCTAAATCCACTATCAGTTTTGGGTGTTATTCTGGCTGTAAATTGTTGTTGTTCTAATCTTGGTTGTGCGTGGAGGTACGGTGCATCCACCTATTCCTCCATCTTGCCGGAAGTCCCACACCTTCCTATTTGGTTCCCACATCTATTGTTGGAGATATGCAATTCACAACTGATTTTTAGTGTATACTTCTGGGGCTGTCTGCAGTGATAGTGATATATTCAGATCATATGTTTCTCTCATTATTCACTATGGGCTTACAGAATAATTTATTACCCACAGAAAACCTACCATAAAAAAAGTAAGAATGACAAGATATTAAGCTTCAGAGGGTTATTCTTCTACAGTAGTTAGTAAAGAACCAACAGAGTAGAAAACTGTTCCACCCTGGCTGGTGTGGCTCAGTGGATTGAGTGCCAGACTGTGAACCAAATGATAGCAGGTTTGATTCCCAGTGTAGGGCATATGCCTGGGTTGCAGGCCAGGTCCCCAGTAGTGGAAGAGGCAATCACACAGTGATGTTTCTCTCCCTATCTCCCTCCCTTCCCCTCTTTAAAAGTAAATAAAATAAAATCTTAAAAAAAGAGAGAGAGAAACTGAAATCCATTAGAACACAATTGGTTTTTCTTAGGGTCTACTGTACATTTCCTTTCAGTGGGACTATGCAACTCACATAAGATTTTTCCACTTCAAAGTCACTGTAGTGATTACTTAAACAATACATTAAAAATATAGGAGACAGAGGAAAACTTATTGTAGAGTCGCTTATAAAACTAGTAAGTGGTAATGTAAGAAATGGGGCTAGCAGCTGGAAAGGCATTTGAAAAACCTTTTAGTCACAGAGTTCACCTTCTTTCTAAAAATTACAAACACCACATGGCAGCTTCCTTCCTACTTCACCAATAATTCTGGCTGACAAAATGCTAAATTCAGTTACTTCCAGCTGCTGATAAAATAGCCTCAACTTACAAATCAAACAGAATTTTTAAACTGCACAGCATTTCATTGTCTTCTGAATATTGTTGCTCCAGGGCAAAACCTGGGATGCACATTTCTATTTCAGTTTTCGGTCACATTAGTTAATTCTTCACAATTTCTCTGCAAAAAAACGTCTTTTAAAAAGGTGGAACTATATTAGAATTATTTAAAAGGACAGATTAACTTTTAACCAGTATGCTTTTTCCCCTCTCTACATCACTAATCTAAAAATTAGATGTGTCCTAGGAAGTGGAAATTAAATAAGTAATGACATTCTTATTTTAAAACATATACACATACCTTGTCTAAAGTTGCTTTCTTCCAAATGCAAGTCAACATGTTCCTGGAGAATATGGTAATTTGTACAGATGAGCCCGCACATAGGACAGTCATATAGTGGCTGGTCACAGTCTGTATTAGAGATAATTCAATTGGTTTTATTTTAGAACTCCTAGATTTTCACCCCCAAGTCAAAGACTGTTTTGGTGTCATGCCAGAGAATATCTACAACTTGAAAAGTTGAGTGTTTGAATCCTCCTGTCTGAGGATTTGAAGCCACAGTTTAGATGACAGACATATACGGATATGCTCCAGCACACTCGTTTCCTCCTTCTATCTTCTCTAGTTTCAACCAGCACACAAGAGATTTTCCTGGTTTGTAAGTTTAAATACAAATAAATAAAATATCTGTTTTCCCACTTAAAAAAAAGAAAAGGAAGATTTTTCTCAGTCACTTGAAAATTTAAAAACAAAAAGGAAAAATCTGATGCAGCACATGTATTCTCAATTTAGGAAAGAACTTGGGAATATTTAGTTATATTATCTGTATGATAATAGTAAAGCTGCAGAGCACATCCAGATAAGCAAAAACACTAAAATATTCTTCTTTCAGTTTTGAGATACAATTGACACACAGCAGTATATATCATACTTTTTGGACTATAAGATGCACCTGCCCCCCAAATTTGGGAGGAATAATGGTTGTTAATGCTGCTGTTGAGTTCTGTTTACATTTACATTGGTGAAATATTATGTTATTTATGTTATTAAACATTTTACCACATTTTTTGTTTCAAAATTTTTTTTTCCTATTTTCCTCCTCTAAAACCTAGGTGTGTCTTGTGGTCTGAAAAATACGGTAAGTTTAAGGTGTACAGCATAATGACTTGAGATACACATATTGTGAAATGATTCCTACAATAAGTTCAGTTAGTGTCCATCATATCATACAGAAATAAGAAAAATTATTTTTTTTTCCCAATGTGATGAGAACTTTTAGGGTTTACTTTCTTGGCAACTTTTAAATATATCATACAGCAGTGTTAGTTATAGTCAGCATGTTATACATTACATCCTCAAAACTTATTCATCCTATAACTGAAAGTTTGTACTTTCGGCCACCTATATCCAATTTACTCACCACTCACCCCTGCCTCTGGTAATCACAAACTGAATCTTTTTCTCTGAGTTTATTATTTTCATTTTTCAGATTCCACATATAAGTGAGATTGTACAATATTTGTTTTTTTATGTCTAATTTATTTCACTTAGTATAATGCCATCAAGGTCCACCCTTATAAACACAAATGGCAAGATTTCCTTCTTTTTATGGCTAATATTCCATTGTACATATGTACAACATGTACCCATTAAGCTTGTTAAATAAAGGTTCTTTGTAGTTGGATTTAAAGCTATTTTTCTACTTCTAGAGTCAAGATGGAAGATGAGTATGATCACAAACCTTTCTTACCACTATAATAAAAAAATAGTATCAATGACAAACATAAGATCTGTACTCAGAACAAGAAAAGTAGAAAAGAAAATTAAAATGGTAAGTAGGGGCCTGTCTAGAAAATGGACTTCATGGACTAAATGCTCATTGTTCTCCAACTAAGCAGTAAGATACAGAATTCAAGCATTCAGCATAAAGCTAGCAATTTGGAGTCTTCTACCTAGCTGGGAGCAGGAAATCAAAGAGTTGGATCCATCAACCAGCACCGAAGAAGTGGTACCTCTGCAAAACCAAGGTACAGAGACTGGGCACCAAAGAGGAACTCAGATACACACAGTGAAAGCCTGAGTAATTCATACACTAAGGTTTGGTTTGGAAGTGGAATAACTACATTCAGAAATTAGTTTAGACAGATGCATAGCTGTTTATTTCTGTGGACAAAATGAATGTGACTGGTCTCATTTTAGCTGGATCAGCTGACTTTAAAACTGAACTAAGTCAATCTGATACGTTTGATCAGGGGTTGCAATCACATCTTAAAAATTAGTTGATATAGAGTTTCTGGATTCCCGGGAGCCGCAGGGACCATGGCCACCTCCTCCGTGTCCAATGGCTGCTTTGTGTTTAAGCCAAAATTAAAGAAAAGAAAGACCTCTGTGCCTATAGTTACAATTTATTAAGATTTGGTTAGACTTCCAGCCAAGATGGAGACATAGGTGGACACACTGTACCTCCACACACAACCAAGATTGGAACAACAACAATTTGGAGGCAGAATAACACCCAGAACTGACAGAAAATTTATCTGAATGGAAGTCAGATAGCCAAGAAGTTGAAATAGATCCGTTCATCCAAACTGGTAGGAGTGGCGGAGACCAGCAGCCAGGCACGGGTCTTGGCGCGGAGAGCAGAGAGTTGGGCGCATAAGGCATCCGGGAGTGTGTAAGATCGCAGCGGGTGGACCCTGAGTATGCAGGCGGCAGGTGGCAGACCCAGTAAGGTGGCGATTGTGGAGCAGGGCAGAACACACAACCCAGAACCCCAGAGAAGGGACTCAGGTCCCACGGGGAACAGAGCAACCTCCATTGTTCCCTCTCAACCCTGCCCCCACATACAACATCACAATGTAGCGACTGGGGTGCCCAGCCCTGGTGACCACTGAAAGCTCCGCCCCTCACCATAACAAGAGAGACTGGAACAAAAAAAAAAAGAGAGATGGCTCAAACAGAAGAACAAATCAATGCCCCAGAACTCATCCTTTTAAGTGACCCAGAGATAGCCAACCTATCAGATGCACAGTTCAAAACACTGATCAGGAAGCTCACAGAATTGGTTGATTATGGTCGCAAATTAGATGAACAAATGCAATTTACGATTAAAGAAATGAAGGAAAATGCACAGGGAACCAATAGTGATAGAAAGGAAACTGGGACACAAAACAATAGAGTGGACCAGAAGGAAGAAGGAAACAACCAAACAGGAAAGAATGGAGAAATAAGAATTCAAAAAAACGAGGAGAAGCTTAGGAACCTCCAGGACACCTTTAAACATTCCAACATCCAAATTATAGGGGTACCAGAAGGGGAAGAGGAAAAGCAACAGATTGAAAATGTATTTGAACAATTAATAAAGGAGAACTTCCCCAATCTGACAAAGGAAATAGTCTTCCAAGAAATCCAGGAAGCTCAGAGAGCCCCAAAGAAGTTGGACCCAAGAAGGAACATACCAAGGCACATCATAATTACATTAGCCAAGGTAAAAATGAAGGAGAGAATCCTAGAAGCAGCAAGAGATAAGGGGACAGTCACCTACAAAGGAGTTCCCATCAGACTGTCAGCTGATTTCTCAAAAGAGACCTTACAGGCAAGAAGGGGCTGGAAAGAAGTATTCCAAGTCATGAAAGACAAGGACCTACATCCCAGATTGCTCTATCCAGCAAAGCTCTCATTTAGAATGGAAGGGCAGATAAAGTGCTTCTCAGATAAGGTCAAGTTAAAGGAGTTCATCATCACCAAGCCCTTATTTTATAAAATGCTAAAGGGACCTATCTAAGAAAAGAAGATAAAGAAAAAACATGTATAGTAAAAGGACAGCAAACTCACAATTATTAACAACCACACCCAAAGCAAAACCAAAAGAAACTAAGCAAACAACTAGAACAGGAACAGAACCACAGAAATGGAGGTCACATGGAGGGTTAGCAACAGGGGGGTGGGAGGAGGAGAGAGGGGGAAAAGGTACAGACAATAAGTAGCATAGAATGTAGGTTGAAAATAGATAGGGGGAGGGCAAGAACAGTACGAGAAATGTAGAAACTAAAGAACTCCTAAGTATGACACATGGACATGAACTAAAGGGGGGGATGTGGGTGGGAGAGGGGGTACAGGGTGGAGGGGAGGGGGAAATGGGACAACTGTAATAGCATAATCAATAAAATATATTAAAAAGAAAAAAATTAGTTGATATATTTTACAGTGGTGAAAATGAAAAGGAAAGTAGTGAGATACCTATTTATGTCCTCTCCAAGGTGAATTTATTCAAAAGAAGAAATGAATTCAACAATACCTTGACAAGTACTCTGACACAGATAAGTACTGTTTTGGAGATTAAGATACACTACAGGCTTTGGAAGTAAGAGCTGCACAGATTTTAACAGTTTATGAAAATCTGGATAAAAAGAGATACGTTTCTCATTGCCAAGGCATATAAGGGGAAACTTCTCAATCTAACTATAGAACAAGACAAGTATACATTTTATTTCACAGGAAGGAGAGAAATATGAGCTGAGAACATGCCACTGTTGTAATGGGCTGCTAACCACTATAAAGAAATTTGGAGCCCTGAAAACTCACAACAAGCATCTCAGTGTGTGAAAGGCTTTATATGAATTCGAGTTATCAGGCAGTACCAAGTAGATTTCCAGGGAATGGAATTCCAAGGAGGAAACATAATTTTTTGTTTTTTACCTTGGTGAATACCAGGTAGTTTTCATGGGTTCTGTAAAATGTGGCGCTTCACCCTCTAGCATCCAACCCAGGGAGCATACCCCTTGTGGAAGCCAAAGAGATCCCTGCCTTACCTCTGGAATATTTCCAGAATTTAATATGCGAGTATTAGATGCTGAAAAGAAGATAAAACCATACCTAACCCTACATTTTGGTTTGTTGTAGTGTTAGCATAGCAGCCTATGGCTCAGTTCCCAAACATCACTTTGGACTAATTTAAAAAGAAATCCAGTTTTTGCTTTTATCTGATGGCAAAATTGGCCGCTCCTGCATTTTATGGGGAGAAAAAAAATATTTTTTAACCTTCATGCATACAAGTAAAAATACATTCAGTGCTATAAATCTGAAAGCTAACAGAATTAAAATCGTAAGTGAAAGAAATTCTAGAGATAAAACACTGACAGAAGTATTTGATGGGCTCATTAGCAGGCTGGATATGACTAAAGAAAGTTTGAACTTGAGGATATCACTAGAGGCATTTCCCAAACTGAAAAGAAAAGAAACCAAAACAAAAAAGGAAAAAAGGAACAAAATATCTGAAAAACTCTTAAAAATCAACAGGAAAAACAAAAACCAGATTAAAATATGGGCCAAGGACCTCCACAGACACCTCACCAAAGATATACAGGTGAGGTGCAAAGAAGCATATGAAAAGATGTTCATCATATATTAGGAAATTGCAAATTAAAACAAGATACTACTACACACACATTAGAATGGCCAAAATCTGGAATACTGAAAACAGCAAATGCTGGCAAGAAATGAAATCATAGTGTCCTTTGATCATAAGAGAATCAAATTAGAACTCAATGAACTCAATAACAAAAAATCATAGTCTGAGACAGCGCAGCTGCCATTGGGTTGGTGTTGTTTCTCCTCAGAAAGGTAATACAACTATTCTCAGTGTAGTTGAAACATTTAGTATTAGCATACAAATTCTTTTCCACTATTGTATTTTTATATTGTAACAACTGCAATAATACACATTGACTTTTAAAACACGGTAGTAACCTGATTTAAAAACCAACTTTTAGGACACCACATGTTAAAGTGAGACTAGTGCTACTTATTATATAAGATGAGAATTCTTTACCTTCTACTGCAGTGTCTAAAAAATTGGCATGCTTTGTCTTCACATGAGTTTCCATATCTTGAGAACAATCTTCTGTTTCCCCACAGAATGGACATTCAGGAGGACTATACATTGTGTCATAAATTGATCCTTTTATCAGGGATAGGTTACACTGTTTTCCCTTACTTCTTGGTTTTCTAGATTCAGTCAAGTTCTCTGAATAAAAGGCTTTATGTTTTAAAGTACTGTCCTCAGGCAGGATTTGAGCTGAAATTTTTGGATTAGACGCACAAGCGGAAGGCATACTTGAATTAACGTCCATTCTGCACTGCTGGCTGTTATCCTTTCTGTTGTCAGAAGTCCCGTACTGTATTTTATTGGTCTTCTCCAAGTTTCTTTCTAGTTCATTGTGCTCGAAATGAGCAGTTTCGATATGAAAACACACTTCATCATAATTCACACCTGACAACTTGCAAAATGGGCATATAACTTCGTTTTCCATGTGAACAATCAGGAGATGAGACTTCATGTCCAGTTCTGAGGTTACTGTTTCACCACAAATATCACAAGATAACATGGTATATCATGTAGCTGTAAAAGAACACAACATTATTTTAAGTTACATGGTAAGAATTAGAGAAAAAGAAAATACATTTTATAAACTGACCTGGAACGATGAAATGTACTTAAAACTTGATTATTTAGATGAATACATTTTCAATGTACTTACTGTTCCTGAAATGTACAAACTTAATATATCTCAACCAAAATTTCCGTTTCAATTTTGATTTTAATAAAGCAAATGCAATACTAATAATGAAAATTAAAACAACTTTTCAAATACCTCTAAAAGTGTGATTTGAGGGAGAGAAAAGTAACATTTACAAAATCATCTAGGTATATATCAGACAAGAGAAAACCAAGAAGCCTTATCAACTACGTATCTAAATACAGAAACTTAAAGTTGTTAACAATGGGGAGGATTAATACATCTTAATAATAGCAGTTACCAGTTAAAGACCTTTATATATATCAAACTAATTTAGGTGTAATTCTACATGGAGGACATCCTAGCTCAGGTATGTCACCACGGCTAGAAAATGGTTAGCTAGCCACAGTGCTAACCCAGACAGGCTCCAGAGTCTGTACTCTCGACCTGAAGAATAGAAGCGGAGCGAGCACAGGACAAAAGATCACTGACTCCAGAGTCCAGAGAACCGGATTATAATCTCAGGTATCAGAATTTTAGGTAAAACATCTCACCTCTTTGATGTTCGGTCTATAAAATTAGTTGTGAGAAATCAGCAGTCACTTTTGAGCTTTGTGTACTAATAAGGTACTAGCTACAGACAAAAGATGATTTTGCTAAGATATAATTTTTTAAAAAGCAGTCACCGTCACAACCTTCCTACTCCAGTCCATCATTCAGCTAAGCGTTAGTTTTAAAATAAGCAGGAAAAGGTAAGAAAACTATTCCCATCATTCAAATAAATTTAGTTTCATAAGAACTCCCTACGCTATCTTTTTCTCATTTCCCTTCAGACAAGTGAAAACAGTCGCTGGATTTTGATGGAAATTCCCCCACAGCACCAGTGGAAAGAGCGTCGTACCCAGAGATCCCAAAGCGGCCACAGTGCCCTGGGCTGGGCTTCCTCTTTGGTTCCGCAGCTGAAACAGTCTGGCTGCCCGCTGCAGAGTGCGTGTGCGGCCTCGATGACCTTTCCCGGCTTGAAAGGCGAAGGCAGGCCCCTTCCTCACCCAGAGGTTCACAGTTAACGGAGAAAGAAAACAGCGAATCCAAAAGCAAAACACTTTTGTGGCCAGTATCACATTCAAAAGAAGCTTTTCCTCTGGTCCCCGGAAGGAAAAGATTCCCAGCATCCACCGCTCCACGCTGGGCGGGTTGTGGTGCATTCTGGAAGACGTAGTCATTTTTCCATCCTCCTATCAGGGCTCGGAGCCCTAACTTTCTAGGAGAGACCGGGATCTGACATCTTTCTGAATGAAAGGGCGGGTCCTAGAGCATCACTGGAGTCCAAAGCACCCACTGTCTAGGGCCTGAGTAGCACTCTATTGTATTATCAATTAAGGCATTTTAATGCTACTAGGTGTCACACTGCAAACTGTGCTCTGCAGGTGGAGGGTGACCAAGACAGCTTCTTGCCTCAAGGATACAAGATCACACGTACCTTATTTCTATGGTTCAGCTCTTATTTCACTCAACAAATATTTAATGAGTGTCTATTAGAAAGGTATTCTTCTTGGAACTGGAGCTGCAGCGGTAATCAAAATACACAAAATTCAGGTCATTTGCAGGTTACACTCTGAGATTGAGAGAAAATGAACAAATAAACTGATCATGATAGGTACTATGAAGGAAATAAAACTGGGTTATTTATAGAAAGGACAAAAGTAGTTAGCAGAAGTCTTTCTGAGGTGGTGAGTGTGCTTATGAACAAACTTTGCACCAACAGGAGGAAGAGTATGCCAGGCAGAGAAAATAAAAATAAAAACAAAGCCTTTAAGACTGGAGCAAAGAGAACAATGTTATTCATAACATTCTAGAAGTGGTTAGAACATGAAGTCAGAGTTGCAGACAGGGGCCAAATAAGGTAGGGCTTTGTAGAAAACTATTGGAGTATTTAAATAGGAGAGTAGCATGATCTGATGTTGTACAATATATGTTTTAAAGATTATTCTAGGTGTTGAGTAGTTAAACATGGTAGATTGAACACATATAGTTATATCCACTACCTCTCAAAATCTACTAAAATGACAGTAGAAAAATAAAAATAAATGCTAGAAAAAGGATGGCTGAGAAGTAACTAAATAAATAGAGGAGTCCACAAAAACAAGTCAATTCATATGCCAGAACTCTGGGGATGTTCAGAAATTAAAGAGGAGATATTTCTGAGAAAGATGGTAAATTTGGGCCCAAAAAGAAGAAAATTTTGCTGAAGTTTTGAATAAGGAGCAGTTAGAACCTTCTTTCCACATGTCCTTCCCCCATCACAAGATTGCCAAGTGACTCATCTGTTCCTCCCAGACAGAACACTACAGGTTTAGTTTATGAAGAAAATGAACCAGAGAGGCTATGAAGTGAGAACTGTGCAACTAAGAGTGAGGATCAAGGTGTTGGGCTGAAAGTGAGGAATAATGAAAGCTAAATACTGATTATGAGGTCCCTAGCAATTTCCTCCCATCACATTCCGATGTCTGATGTGTGCCTCCAAGTCAGGAGACTGGAGAATTCTCCACGGAAAATTCTCCATTGGTCCAAGATCAAAGACCTACACATAATGGCTTTTTGAGAATCCTCCAATGAAACAACCAAGATCTCATTTTATCACTCGGTGGGGAGGCCTACAATCAGGGAGTAAACAAGCCTCCCTGATACACTGGCTTCCAAAATAAGTTTCTTTAGTACCTCATTCTTAAATATGGATACTCAAGAATCACCAGGCCTTGGAGTGCAGCTTATCGCAGGGAAGATAAAAACCAAAATGATAAAGGAAAAAAATAAGCTCTGAAGAAACATAGACAATGAATAAAGGACAAAAATATTTCAAGGAAACTACAATTAATATATTTAGAAAGACAAGAAAAGATATTTAATCCTTGAGTCAAAAATAGAAAGTAGCTTTTGAGATTAAAAAAAAACACACACACATATATATTTAATAGAAAGCTGGAAGATAACCAAAAAATTTCTCAGAAAACAGAAAGAACCAGAGATGGAAAACAGGAGCTTCTTAGGGGCAGGAATCATGTGTTTTCATCTTGTGTATTCTGTCCCTAGAATTGAATCTGGGAAAGTCAGTTTTCAATACTGTCTGTTGAACTTGAGGATGGTTTACAACGCTATACCTGTGTTATAATAATTTAGAGTACTTTATCTGGAGTTTATTTCATATAGCAGTGACTACTCTTTTTTTGTTAAAAATCCACAGATGTGATAGAATTCAAGTTTAAATAAACGGCAAATTAAAAAGCTTGAAACAAAGGGGATCATATGGAAAAAAAGTGAATGCAGCTGAAGACGTAAAGAGCCTTTGTAAAGCTCCAAGATGTTGGTATGTTTATCCGTTGTGTACGCTGTTGAAGCTCTTCTATCTGAAATAATGCCTGGCTCTGATTAGGCCTCCATCAACACTATGTTGTAGGATGGATGGAGGATGGATGGATGGATGGACCGACGGACGGACGGACGGACGAAGGAACGAGTGAATGATCGACTGAGAACTTGTCCGGAGGACTGGGTCTGTAGGACAAACTGCAGCCACCTGGACCGCACGGGTTTAAAATCTCGCAGTCGGGGCGGACACCGGCTCCTCCTTCGGTGGGTGCGGCTGGGGCGCGCCTCCTCTCCGCCCCTCTGCGGGTTTGTGCTGCAGCAGCCGCCGCCGCGAGCAAGGGCTTCTGGGAGCCGAGCCTCGGGGTCTCGGGGAAGGGGCGCAGGTGGACGCCATCTTGAGCTGCAAACCTGGTCGCTACATTCAACGCTAGGGGCGGAGTGGCGACCCCACAGTTAACCCGCAGCAGACGCCGCAGCGGGGGACTGGAAGTCAGGGCACCGGGTAGTGCCACATTAATGGGTAAGTGGGAGTGACACAGGCCAGGTTGACTGAACCTCAGGTTTGGTTCCTTTGGTAGCAACTAGTTCCTCGGGCCACAGTTTTTATTTACCCCTTTCCTTGCCCAGGGTTCAGAACCAGACCAGCCGGGGTGTTCTCGGGATCCCCTGAGGGAAACACGGTGGCGGGGGTGTGGCAGCAGGACTGTTCTCTGAGTCGCAAAGGTGCGGGGAGTCCAGATCCTCTTAGACTGCCAGGCTCACCCTCGGAAGAAGCTTGAGGCAGCCAATCTCATCTTCTCGCCGCCGCTCTGCTCCATTTCTCGGTAGTTTTTCTTCTCCGTACGTGGTCTTGCAAACGTTCCCACTCCCTGCTGGGCTCAGCGTTTGCGTCCGGCAGCTTATTAGGAGTACGTAGTGTCCGGAGTAAGGCAGGTCTGTCCTGGGGGGCCCACAAGTCGCACCCTCTACCTCCGCCAGCAGCCCTCTCCTCCGCTGGGATGCAGGTGCCTGCAAGGGCTCGGTCCCTGTCCGCCAAGTGTGGGTCAGATGCCTGTCTCTACTAGTCTGTCTACGAAAGTTGAATAGTGTTTCCTCCATAATGCCTAAGAGGCGAAAGGATCTGGAAGCTGTGAAATCGGATAGTGATACTTCAGAAGAATGTGACATTAACATTTGCTCTTGAACTTTTTGAACAAATTTAAAAAACTCTGATTTGATGTCTTTTCGTTACAACTCTGAATGACTCACATTCTGTAGGAAAGTGACTTCCTTTCTGGGTAAACAAAAAATGGTTCTGTCCTTCAGATCTTGGAGCTTGTTCAGTGGTGGGGTCTGTAGTCGGCCCACTTTCCCCTTTATATCAATCCTGTAATTTTACTAGTAGGCACCCAAACTCATGGAGGTGGAGGCTTTATTGATACAAGAAATTACGATGAGATGTTAGAAAAATTTTAGATTCCAGTTATTCGCCCAACCTCAACACAGGTTTTCAAAGAGCTGAGTCAAAAATAAGCGTATGACTGAAGAAATTCCCCTGTTCTCCAACTTTAGAGTGCCTGAATAGGGTTTCTTGTATTTTTAATAACTTGTACAGGACAGCAGTCTTTAAAGTATAGTCTTCAAAACTATTTTCCAGAGAACAAAACAATACCATTGGTTGAGGAACCTTTAGAGATCATTTTCCTTAGAATTTATGTCCTCTTTAAAGCACCTGCAGTGAGGAGGCAGGCAGAAAGTCACTACTGTAGAAGAAAAAGTAATGATACATTAGTTGTTGGGACTAGATTTTATTTGGTTAACGTGTTTATATAAAAAGGTTGTAATGTGGCCACCTAGATCAGCAACTTCAACGGGTGTGCTGCAAGAGACACACTGGTGTGTCACAAGAATTTTTAAAACATAACTAGCCAGGGGCACTGACCTCATTTCCCTTAGGTTGTCAAAAAAATGACAACAGCCAACACAACAATAGCCGTCTGGTGTGACTGAATCAAAATTATACCTTTTTTTATCCGATCAACAAATAATTTAATATATTTTTTGGTGTGCCGCAGATATTTAGTAATTAGTTTATGTGTGCCATGAGATGAAAAGATTGAAAACAGCTGACCTAGCTTAATGGTTTTGGAATAGGGTCTAGTGTATGTGTTGGGTAGGCAAAAGGTGATTTATTCAGATGGGGAGTAAATATTAGAACTTGATTAGTTTACCTTTTAAAACTATTACTTAAATTTTTTTTCTATTTGTGAATTTTGTAATGGGTAGTTTATTAGGCTAGTAATACACGTACATAAATAAACATACTGAGAATTAATATGCAAATATATTTTGCATACATAAGGATATGTGATCTAAAAAGTTTAGACTACTAGATGATGTCTAATGTGTAGGTGATAAATATTTTTAAGAGCATTATTGCTTTGAAGATTTTGTTAAAATATTTTATACTTATTGAGCATACCGGGTGGGGCAAAAGTATGTTTACAGTTGTGAGTATGGGAAACAAGTGTTTAGTCTTGTATCATTTATTAACTATTGTATTATTTTCCATATGCCAACTGTGAACCTACTTTTGCCCCACCCTATAATTCAGCAACTAATGGTGAAACACAGTCTTTTGAAAATTAGTTATGCACTCTGGTCTCGACTTTTCCCCTCCAAGAGACTAAGCTCTTATCCAGACAATTTTTATATACAAGATAATTAGAGAACAGTGCTGAACATTATAATTAATAAAGCTTGACCAGCTATTTCTAATGACAAATATTTATTGGTGTA